CTCTGGCTCTACTCTACGGGCTGAAGCCTCCCTATTAGCTGCCCTTTGTTTTCGACGGGCGAGAGGTAGAGTATAGTATTGGTCCAGAATTAAGCCTCCAGAACAGACAGCTCGTTTTCTTCCAATTCACCCGGCGCCATGCCTTCCTTGCCTTGAAGCGGGCCCGCCATCACGGCGGTGGAGTGGTTCCACGTAGTTTATCCTCTCTTTCTCTACTCTGCTCTTCTCTACACAGCTTCTCTTGGGTATTCCGCTTCTGTTCCACCATCACATAGAATACAGTGGGTACAGCTAGCGAGGGTCACGTCACAGCCAACCCACCGGTGAGAAACACAGACCCGGCTAAATAAGCTTTCGCTCCCAAACGGCGCGCAAGGTTTCGCCAACCAGGCAGGGCGTGCACGTGTGTGGTTTAGCCGGGGTGTTCCGCGCGGGTAGCGTAGCGTATGTAGCGGGGGGAAGGAGGGAGGCTGTCTGTGCCACTGCGCGCTAAGAGGGTGGGTGAGGCGGTGGTAGTAGTAGTGGTAGGGCCAGAGGATGAGAGAGGATGGGTGAGGTGAGCACAAGGCTGCGGACCGAGTGATACCCTGTGAGGGTGTGAGGGCACGTGCTGCTGCTGCTACGAGGGTGTGACGTGGGGGGCGTCTGTTTAGGGTTGCACTGGGATGGGATGGGGTGTAGCTGTGTATGGGGTGGTGGTGATGATGATGATGATGATGGTGCTCATGACCAGGGCTGGCTGGTGCTGTGCTGTGCTGTGCTGCGCTGCGTACGAGACGAGATAAGTCTTCAGATGGGCGCTCTGTCTCTAGCTAGCTACATACGCTGCCGGTACTGTACTTACGGTGCTGCCCGTACTCTATATCCCCATCACTGGTACATGTATCCTAGAGCACTCCAGCCCCCAACATTGCAGTAGTGTAGGCCCATGTCCATCTCATCTCTCATGAGAATATAAGAATCCGAACTGCATAGATCTAGCTCGTCGTTCTTTAGTAGATCTGCGGATAAAACCCACGATGCAACAAACCATCTAATCTAATCTCATCTATGCATCTACTTATGCAACCCTCCCTCCAATCCATCTCTTCCTGTGCGACCCCAGAACCTGACCCGTTCAATCATGCCCACCACCGCCTGAGGCTACCTACTGTCTACATGATCTGTTTAAGGTACTCTCCACCAGCCAAAGTCAAGGTTCGAACCCTATTCCGCCTCATGACGATGATTGCCTTCCCTTCCCTTCCCTTCCCTTCAGCTGGCGGGCGCTCCCTTCCTTTCCATCCTTCCTTCTTAAGTTGCTTGCCTGAGTAGAGCAGTACCGCTGGATGAGTAACCGCTCCCTCGCTCCCATCCCACCCTAATCTCCGCTCAGTCAGTTCAGTCAGTTCAGTCTTCCACCCCCCTCCGTCATATCATCGCAACAAGCCATGGAGCGATAACGCACCCACATCACCGCGTTTCGGATTCGCGTTCTTGCAATTGGCTGCGATGGACCTCGCCCGTCCAGCACTTTTTTCTTTTCTTTGCTCAACCCCCAAAAACCCATCTCAGCGAACGAGTCAATGGTCCGCACGTGCTCCCCTCCCTCTCTCTGTAGCATAGACAGCGTAGGCAGCATAGGTAGACTTGGGTCAGTCACATATTTTTTCTGGCATGGAACTGCACATCGATACGTGTATCGCCCGCCGTGCGATCGCGTGACAAACGACGGGTTGCTGGAACCAATATCGCAAACTCCCTCTTCCGCGCAGCGCACGTTGATTAGTGGGTTAGGGTTTAGTTATTTCTGTAAGTTATAGTTTCTGCGCAAGAGAAAGAGAGAGTGCCTTGTGGATGAGTGGTAGGTAGAGTAGGTGGGCCGGATGTGTCAAGTCCACGCCCCCCAGCTCAGTTTGGCCTACTGTATGTAGCTACTCTACGGACGGGTATGTACCCATGCCTGGTTAGGTCTGGGTCAAGAGTGAGTGTGAGTGAAGTGTGAGTGAGTGAACTGGATGGACTGACGGAAGTAGTTGGTTGCACCCGGTTTTGGTGGGGAGATGGGGATATTGGCTGAGAGGGGAGGAAGTTCTACAGAGGTGACTGAACTGACTGGGGGGTATGGGTATGGGGATGGGCGAGAATTGGGGTGGGAATGGGATGGGATGGGTGCCTTGGATGAGTGAATGAGTGAATGAGTGTTCTCAAAGGCGTAGGAGGAATGTCTATGCTAGCTACTAAAATAGGTAGTAGAGAACCTACACTATGAGTGTTCTCTCTACAATCCTCGAGAGAAAAGAGTTCTCCAGGATCTAGCTTGACTCCATTTCCTGTGCTCGCTCTTTTTCGAGTAAAAGAACGAGTCGAAATAACAACCAAATCAATCGATCACTCGTCTGTCTGTCTGTGGTGTGTGTGTGTGCCATCAGTTTTATGTCAAACCCGGAGATATTTCTTCTGGCCACAACCACCGTACCGTGCCGTACCGCGCGCGCGCCGCCGCCGCCGTTATTAGAGCTTTCCCCCCTTCCCTTCCCTCCCCATATCCCGAAGAAGAAGAGAAAGAAAGAAAAAATTTAAAATCAAATCACAAACATGATCAGTGCTCAACAGGATCTATGGTATCTGGCTGGTAGGTAGGTTAGAGTAGGTAGGGGAAGGCGAGACGAGACGAGACGAGACGAGCGAGCACCACCATTACCACCGGCGCCCCAAAAAGAAAATAAAAAGAAAAAGGGCTTTTACCCCAAGGTAGGGGGAGTGTGCGCGATGCGCGTGCCAGTTTACTCTTTTCTACGGCGGGTGCCAAACAATGATCTGCCATTAGCAGTCCTGATTGGGAGGGAGAGAAGGTTGTGAGTGCCAGAGAAGGTGCGAAGGAAAAAGCGAAGCAATCAGATATTTTTATTTCATTATTTGCTTTTCTTGCTTTTTTCTCTTTATTTTATTTCTTTCCCCCATCATGATCAGCCAGAGGGTCCAGGGAAACGTGGAAAGCTCGTGAGGGCTTCACCACTACCTACGTAGGTAGCTGTCTGTCTGTAGAGTATGTTGGTAGGTATGTAGCTGGAGGGAAGGTCACCCAGGCAGGTATGCTGATTGTATATACCAAGTAGGTTGTTGGAGCCGCAAAGCATCTACAATCGAGTCGCTGCTCGCTGTAACTCTGCTTGCACTAGGGGTTGTTGAGTTTGTGAGTGAGCGAGTGCGAGTGCGCCTTACGGATGGGTGGTGGCGCTAACGGATCTTTTGGGCCCTGGTGGATGCATCAGGTTTGGCAGCGGACCAGGATGTCACTAGGGGACGTTATTTGGATCACTTACCGAAGACGGACATGGGCCAGTAAGATCGCGACCTCCACCCCCCTCTGCCCTCTGCCCCCCGACGAAACCGAAATAGCCAGGCCAGGGATTTTGTGGCTGCCCCATCCACTCCGCATTCCCAACCAGAGAGATGGACAGACAGACGGAGACAGCTAGACGGACCAGGGCCGCCAGGGGAGTAGTGAAATAAAGGATTGAAACCTGTGTTCAGGTAAGTAGGTAGAGTATGTATGAGTAGGTGGGAGCTGGAGGAGGGAGGAAGAGCATGTAGGTATACTGTATGTAGGGACCCCAGAGTTTACTGTAGCCTGTAGGCCTGCTTTGGACGTATGTAGTACTGGTGGTCCTGGCTTTTTTTTTTGATCACCCCTTCCTTCCCTGGCTGACCTGACCTCCCTCCTGGACTCTTGTTCTTTTTTTCTTGTTACTTTTTTTCGTTCTGGGATCCCCTTCCCGTTGAAAAGTGAACAACTTGAACGTACGCTCCTTTACCCGCGAAAATCAATCTGGCGTCTCTCTAGAAGCGAGGTACTCTAACCACTCTCCAATACCGGCACCACCACTACCTCTCACTCACTCACCTCACGCTCGCTTTTCTGCCTTGCCTTCCCCCCATCTCGCTCGTTCCTTCCTTTGTGTGTAGTAGCAGCAGCGTAGGAGAGCTTCTACTTCATCTCTCTATCCAAGCTGTGGGTGTCATTGCCGTCAATCCCTACGTACACATACGTGCCATAGGTATCATTGCCTCGGGGGCCTAGTGTTATTTGTTTTCTTTTCTTCTCCTCCGCCAGTGCTAGTCTAGTTTATTCTGGTCCTGACCCCTCTCTCTCTCATTGAATTCGCGAGACCTACATCCGTAAGTAGGGTAGGTAAGCAGTTTAGGACTTCGTTTTTTTGCTGCAGAGCGATCAGTGCCTGTGACCTAGTTGTACCTGCTGTTGTGCGATACCTGTGGACCACCACACCCACCACACACCCACCCCACCCCTCCCTTCCTTCCCTCCCTCCTCAACAACCCTAGTCTCCGATCCGATCCTCGAACCTGGCGAAACAACTGCAGCAGCAGCAGCCAGCCCAGCCCAGCCAGTCAGCCATATAACCACCCACCGCTCCCCCCCTCCCTACTACCATCTGTTGTTATAACTTGACTACGACGGGGCACCTAGGGTGACTTTTTTTGCATTGCAACTTCCTACCCACCCACATCACCTATTATCCCCATTAACTACTACTCGCTTTTCGCAGCACGGGGTTGGGGGGAACAAAAGGAAACGCAACGCAAAAAGGAATAAGAGGAAGAAGAAGGGATTCACGCAACAACGGCTTATGTTCGTTTGCGTCTGTGGGGATTGCAGTTGCTTGTGTGTGAAGAGAACGGGGGTGTTTGGGGGCTAACTGACTACTCATTGCTGCTGGACTGCTTGCCTCTAATTACAAGAAGTTTTGTCATTTCTACTACTACTACTACAGTCAAACCGTCAGCGAAACGTTTTCTCACTTTCACATTATTCACAACCTTATTTTCTAAACAACTACCTTTTTCTGACGCGCACGGGAGAAGGAAAAAACGATATCATATCATTACCCAAGAATAACAACTAAAAAGTTCCAGTGTAACTGTAACAAGCTGAGTCGGTTCAACGACGACAACGACGACGACGGCCGCAGGAGAAGCAACAAAGCATTACGCGACACATGAACGGCCAAGGAGCCGGCGGATTTGGCGGCGGGAGAATGGGCGGAGGTGTAGCTGGGGGCGGCGGAGGAGCAGGAGGGGGAATGCCGGGAGGGCAGGAGAATAATAGTACGCTCTCGCAGATTGTGCTACACGAGCTCAAGTCGAAATGGAACCCGCAGGGGTGGCAGCAGGAGATGACGCCCAATGAGCGTGCGAATATTATCCTTCAAATGTATAGATTTTTTTTTCTCTTTCTTTTTTTCTTCCTCCCGTTTTGCTGCGTCTTTGATAAATTCCATTCTATTTCTTTTTTTCGTTTTGGGGACCTCTGGTTGGGGGAGTTGGGGGGCGCACTCTCTTGCCTCTTTTTTGGAGGAAGGGAAGAGATGCGGCCTGTTCTCCCCGGATATCCTCGTTCTCTTTCTTCTTGCGTTTTCCCTGGATCGTGAGAGCTAAAATATTCATGACATAAACAGCGCCTCGTCATTACGACTGGTACGGACCGAAGTAGAGCAAGAACAGGCTATAAAGATCGCAACAACCTTCGAACAGGCAACATATGATAAAGCAGTAGATAAGGTACGCTTCCGTCTAGCTTATTTCCTCACGGGATTATCATCGCCCCAAGCGTCTTAGGGCCGTATTTTAGCATAGTGACGTCAGATTCAGTTGTTAACACCCTTTTTCCCTTTTATTTCGTAGGAAGACTACCGAATACAGTGCCGATCAAAACTTCTCCAGATCCGCGAATCGAGACGGAGACAGATGGCTGCCGAAGAACTGAAGATGCGAAACAACCAGCCAGGGATGCCATTTAATCCTCTGCAAAAGATTCCGGGCATACCAGATGGACAGCAGTTGACCATTCAGCAGCAGCAGCAGATCCTACAGCAGCGTCAGCAGCAGGCCCAGCAACAGCAAGCCCAACAAGCCCAGCAACTTCACCAACAGCAGCAGGGCCACAGCCTCCAGCAGCAGCAGCAGCTTCAGCAGCTCCAGCAGCAACAGGCCCAGCAGCAACAACAGATCCAGCAGCAGATCCAGCAACAGCAACAGGTGCAGCAACAGCAGCAGCTGCAGTTGCAGCAAGTTCAGCAACAGCAGCAACAGGGCATGATGCTTGGGCTGCAGCAGCAGCAGCAGCAACATCAGCAGCAGCAGCGCCCCCCAATTAATCCTCAACTGGCAGACCAGAATCGCATAATAAGCAACTTGATGTCCTCAATAGCCCAGAAGGTGGGTACGGCCATGTTATCAAATATGAACCAAAACCCGAATCCGGACATCCGAGAGCTTGCCGCAAAGTGGAATATGGAGCCAGCGCAGGCTTTTCTGAGGCAGCAGGCCGTGAATCTCTATAGGCAGAAAATGTTGCAGGATCGACAGCAGCAACAACAGCAACAGCAACAGCAGATGGCCCAAGGTGCCGCAGGGCAACAGGCCCGGCCAATGCCCGCCAATCTTATGCCTGGGGGGGTATCGCAAGTGATGAGGAATCCATCCCTCCTTACCACTGCAGAAAGTTATCAAGCCCAACAGGCCGACGCAAAGCAGAGGGCGGATACCGGTGATGAAGTTGTTCCGGTCTCACAAAACAATCCCCAGTTTCCTGCTGGTCCTGGTATGAGAAATTCTAGTCCGCAGACACAGGTGCAGGCGCAGGCACAGGCAGAGCAACTAAGACGGAATGCTGCAATGCAAAATGCCCGCTTACAGGTGTGTTCCTTCCAGGTCACCTAACGGCACGTTAATTTGAAGAAACTGACAATTTTTCATAAAAGGCTGCGCAGTTTCAAGGTTCTCCGGGACAAACGCTCCAGAACGTGGGTGTGGGTGTGGGACAAGCAGCGAAGGCTCCTAGTGCGTCCCCAAACCAGGGCAACGCGCCTGGCCTTCAGCGCACACCTAACCCAGCCGCCCAGCAACCAGGCCATCCGCAACAGTTTCCCATGCAGCCACTTATGAACCAGCAACGGCCTCCTATGGTTGGTCCAGGAGCTATTCCCGAAGGTAAATCCACCGAAGCACTTGCACTTATTAAAGCAAAGTATCAGGAACATCTTAACCAGCGAGAAGGTGGAAAAGCCCAGCAGCCCAACTTTCAGCCACCGGTCGGTGCCATGTCGCGACCAGGTCAACCAGCTCAACAAATGCCAGGATCCCAGCCTCAGATGCAACAAATGGCACAAAACCCTACGCAGCAAGGGCCGGCTCAACAGCCAACTGGTGTTCCGCCTGCAGCGAATGCGCAGGCTAAGGTCCCAGGCATACCAGTTCTCAATCCGGATATGGTTTTGACCGATGAGCGGGTGGCTCTCATGGATACCAAGCCGTTTCCAAGGCCCATGTTGGGACAGCTAGGCAACACAATCCCTGCACAGTACACAACATGGGGTCAAGTCAAAAATTATCTCACGATGGCCAATGCTCCTCCACATTATATTGAGTCTATACGGACGAAGCAAGCTCATCACTACCAGATGATAGTCAGAGCCCAGATGGTAAAGAGACTACAACAACAGCAGCAGCAGGCTCAAGGTGCTTCTCAGCAGCAGCCGGGCCAGCAGCAGGTCCCACAGCAGGCCCAGCAACAGGCCCAGCAGCAGGCCCAGCAGCAGGCCCAGCAGCAAGCCCAACAAGCCCAGCAAGCCCAGCAAGCCCAACACGCCCAGTTTCAACTTCAACAACAACAACTTCAACAACAACAGCTCCAGCAGCAACAGCTTCAGCAGCAGCAGCAAGCGCAGAAGCAACACGTGCAGCAGCAAATTCAGGCGCAACAGGCACAGATGCAAGCCCACATCCAGGCACAGATGCGGCAGCAACAACAGCAGCAACAGCAACAGCAGCAACAGCAACAGCAGCAACAGCAACAGCAGCAACAGCAGCTTCCTATATCTCAGCCTCCTCAATCCCAGGGCGCCCCTACTGTTCCAGCTGTTGTGCAAAAGCCTTCTGCCCCACATCCAGCGGGCCAAACTCCTGGCCAGAACCCACTCGCCGGTATGACGATGGCCCAATTTCAGCAACTCCAATTATTGGCTCAGCAAGGAAAACTCAGCCCTCAGCAAAGCCAACAGCTTTTTGCCATCAGACAACATCAGGAACGTAGGATGATGGCACAAAGGGCGGCGGCGGCGCAGCAGAATGCTGCTCCCCAGGTGCCTGCTCCACAACCACCTGCTGTTGCTCGACCTATGCAATCAGCCGGTTCTGACTCGCCGTCAGCTGCAAAGAAGTTGAAAAGGGAAAGGGATACGAGCGAAGAAGTTGTTCTTCTTGATCAACGACCGGCGCCGCAACAGAGTAACCAACAACTTCCTGTTGCACGTACAGTTCAGCAGTCCCCCCAACAGTCACAGTTTGCAAACAAGGCAATACAGGGACAGAGACCAAACGCTGCCCCTTCGTCAACACAGCAATCTCCCACTGTAAAACAGAATCCTGATCAACAGCAGTTAGATGCGAAGCATGCTATGGAGCAGAAAAATATGATCGCCTATCTTACGAAAATGCTCATGGATGAAAGGGGTAGTCACGAGGGCCGGCCGATACTACAACTTCAGAAAGAGGAGAAGGAATGCCTTCGCCAACAGCTGTGCGAAGTAAATACAAAGAGCATGATACAGCGTATGACGCAGTTGCTGCCGATGTTTGTTTTGTTGGGTGGAAAAGCTGTTGACACGAGGTCGCTGATTCGAACGGTATTTCCCGCTGATCTTGGTCATGTGTCTTCTTTTTACTAACATATCGCCTAGAAAAACTTGCTTACATCGCAATATCAACAAAACGGGGAGCCTAAAGAAGCTTTTACCATCAACATGGCACAATTGGCCGAAGCGAGGGCGTCTTTGGCTAAGTGTTTTGGTTTCGTGAAACAGAACATGGCGCAATTGGCGAGCAGGGACGAGAAAAAGGCAAAGGATCTTCAGCTTGAGGCACATCGATTTACTATTCCTAATTTGATGATGGCTGGACCTGGACCTCGTATATCTACTCCTCAACAGCAACAGGCCCAGCTGGCTCAACAGGTCCAACAACAACAGCAAGCCCAGCAGCAAGCCCAGCAACAGGCCCAACAGCAGGCCCAACAGCAGGCCCAGCAACAAGCTCAGCAGCAGGCCCAGCAGCAGGCCCAGCAGCAGGCCCAGCAGCAGGCCCAGCAACAGGCTCAGCAACAAGCTCAACAACAAGCCCAGCAACACGCTCAGCAACTGCAGCTTCAACAACTCCAGCAACAGCGACAGCTACAGCAACAGCAACAGCAACAGCAACAGTTGCAGCAGCAGCAAAGGCAGCAACAGCAGGCTCAGCAACAGGCTCAGCAGCAACAGCAGCAGCCGGCCCATCCTCAGCCACAAATGCAGGCCCGGGCGCAGCTTCAGGTTCCCAACCCCCAGTCCCCGCCGAACCCCCTCAGTGCTAGCAACCTCGAGCAACACACCCAGAAGTTGGCGCTAGAAAGATCGCGATCTATCCAATCGCAGAAAACACAACAGATAACCGGGCAAGCCAATCCACTAGGATCAATGTCACCAGACGGAAGCCCGCCGACAATGATTCCAGGAAAGTTTGGTCCTGAAGATCTGAAGCTTCCTATCCGAAAGAAGAGACAGCGAGAGGTTGAGCCAGAGGCCATAAAGGTGAAAGAAGCCCCGAAGTTGCTTCACAAATGTCCCATGGTGAATTGCGGTAGTGGTGTGAAGGAATTCGAAACAAAGGAAGAGCTGGAAGAACACCAGAAGTGGCATGAAAGGGAAAGGCAAAGATTAGTGGAGGAAGAGAGAAGGAACAAGCATAAGATCGAGAACCCACTAGATTACCTTTTGAGCTCGGCCCGGGAAGCTTTATGTCTCGATAGCGATGGAAAGCCTAAAGGAAGACCTGATGAAATCATGAAGGATGATATGCCGGCGAAAGCTGTTTCAACGCCGCAGATCAAGCCTGGGTCGACACCGCTTCTTAGCACAACGCCCATTAATAGAGGTTCCGGGCTCACTCCTGCTCCTGCAAGGTCTCCAGCCGCGCTCAAGACGCCACAATTGTCGAACGCCAAGACGCCGGGCGGGAAATCCACCCCGAATTCCAAATCTCAGTTGAAGGAGGAGAATGCAAACGAACAACTTCCCACTCCCCCAAGCACCAATGCATGGGAGAGCTCGTCTATGTCTCCAGATGTGATAAGGCAGTGCTTTGAAGGTGTCCGAGAGGGAGTTTTATATCTGTCGACTATGAACCCTGCCATCGTTACCCCCGCATACACCCCGGGGTCGTCTGGTCCTGAAGGTTTTGAGGGAGTTATTGAAAGCATGGGTGGAAGTCTTGAGGATTGGAACCACTTTGGGGACGGGGGCAATATGGTAGACGATTTGTTGCAGGAAGTGGAGTGGGATAATGATCCGTCTTTTAGTAGTTCCGATTTGGGTGGTAGGAACTGGGCTATGGCGTATGGGTTTGAACTGAGGGTTTAACCACTATACACATTAATGTTACATTTTTTTCTTCTTTTCTCTTTTCTTCTTACTGGATAGGTTTCAATTCGGGTTTATATTTTTTTTTGATGGGGATTTTTTTTCCGACTCTTTTGGCGGACATCAAAAGTTGGGCGAGGATCATGCGGCCACGGTTTTCTTCAGGAAGTAAATATTACTTCAGGTATATCTCTTTTTTTCATTTGGTTTAGGGGTCTTATTTGGGAACTTGGCATTTGTATTTGTATTCGTTCTTCTTACTACACTGGTCATAAGGCGTTGTTCTCTTTTTTTCTTTTTTTTTCTTTTTAGCCCTCTAATCATTTCTTTTCATTCGGATTATTTTTCAACCGAAGTAGCCCTCTATAGGAGTATTAGCAGTACTAGCATCACTATTTCTTTCTTGTTAATAAAGAGAATGTGATCGAATTTAAGTAATTCAACTGCCCACGGAAAGACAAGATTTGCCTGTCATTTGTTTCACGTGAAACCTTGCACTTTGAGTATAAATAGGGAAATAATGACTTGGCTGGTTCGTAAGACCTTGGACGTTTTTACATAGAATTCTAGCCATTTGAATTGGTTGGCTTAGTTGGTCTTGACCATCAATTCTAACATCCATTGCACGTGGGATGTCGTTTTTGCACTTTGGATATAATTAGTAAATAATGACTCTCATCATGCATGGCTGGTTCGTGGCGTGGGTGATCGGCTTGTGGGGCTTTGGGTACATGTATGTTTATATGGATAGAACTTTTGAACAGAATGGGTTTTGCTTTTTTCTGATTGGTTGAATTAGCTAGGTACCGCTGGTTTTACAATGTTGTGCTTTGAGTATAATTAGAGATAATGACTTCCATCATGGTTTCTGGTTGTGGCACGAGTGGCAGCGGATCTGGCTATCTGTGGGGCATTTGGGTGGTGGAATTGGTTAGAGTTATCGTTGTTGCACACAAGATGCCGTCCTTAAGCATGCACTTTGAGTATAATTAGTAAACATTGACTCTGGTCAACGCTGCTTGTTTGTGACACTGATCCTTCGTGGGACTTTAGGCATCCTATATAGAATATTGCGCCTTGATGGTCTCATGGTATGGATGCCGAATATGAAACCCCTGATTTGGTGCGTTAGCTGGTCGAAGCTATATCACTACTACCAGAGAAATAACACTTACTATATGGCCGATATTAAACACACTGGCTGCAGTCTGAAACTGCAAAAGCCAACTAACCACACCACGGATTATGTAACGGACGTTTGTACGAGTGATATCACATGACCAAAACAGCACAACCAGTGTTCGCTGTCATGTACGTTACCGAAAAGATCAAGGTAAGAAGCAGCGCAGCAACCCCCATGATCATATGAGTGACCTACCTATTTCGTGACTAACAATTGAAGAAGCCATCTAAAAATACGGTAGATATTTTTAGTTGTGATAAAAGACTGCCCTAGATATGCCCTACATACATATGTAGCAAGATGTCAAAGCTCGGCGGTCGAGCTCGTCACTGCTTTCTATCTGATGCGCTGGGGAGACGTCCGGGGGATTCGGGATGGGGGTATTAGAGTTCGTTGACATGACCGTGAGTGAGGAGGATTTGATGTCCCAATGGTCATGACCTAATCAATGACCACGACATGACATCTGATCTTATAATAGCTGTCCTCTAGACCGTGGCGCTTGGAACCAAGAACAACATCCAATCTCACACACTGAAATAATAATAAAACTTGTCCGTCACGTTAGGCTCATCAAAGGCTACGGCGAATTAGAGGTTGGGTGGACCGGATAGGCTCATTAGAACGGCGTCTATATACGTACGGAATACTATGTAAGTCATGTTACATAGAAGTAAAGTTAACATACGCATTTAAAGAAGAAAATGCACAAACAAGAGGAGGATAAAAGAGAACCGGAGAGAACCAATTAATTGAGGAAGATTTATTGAAAAAAACCCCATCTAAAATTATTCTATGATTATAACCGACCCTAACCCTAACTTTAGGGCCATGGGAAAATCCATAACTGCGCCCAAAAGAAAAATAAATTCTCAGATGAGTCATCTGAAGGTGAACGCAGTGAAACAAAGAGGGAAAGGAGAAGTGGTGGGAGAACATTGTCTTATACTGATGGGGAAGAATTCCAAGATCTGGTTTTTCGCCAATTGTAGAACTGGGTAATAACTCTGAGCACACACGGTTGAGTTAGGTTAGTTTAGGGGGTGGTGTAAATGTGCTAAGGTGTCTTTGATACAAAGTAAGTTGCCAGGACTTAGACATTTATCGCTGTCACACAGGTTTGTAGTCTTTTCCGACATAGTCAATGAAAATAACCTTCTAGCCTGGATATATATGATATGATATCCAATACAACGGCTAAAAACCAGGTGAGAGACAGTAATTATTCCGTCCCAAAAGGAAATTCTATTTAACGGAAGGTTTGTCGGTCCTGAGGTATCGTGCAGTATAAAAGTGACTATATTCTAATACTCAGAGGACCCAGAGCTAGAGGGAAGCCAAATCTCCGTTATATGAGCTCGGTAGCTAGCCGTGTTTGTTTAGCGTCAAGTGGACTGCACGAGTAATAGTTGGTGATCCACCACTCCAACTGACACATCGTCAACTACGCACACAGTTCCGCCAGATTTCCATAACGACAATGGCCAACCCCAGAGATTCTCCATCCCGAGGCAAACACCCACCTCCCCCCATCGGTTACGCTGCAATAAGAAAACCTATATAAGCGCCGAGTACACCACTGCCCTGGCCCTTGTATTGCATCGATATGCTAATGTCTATATCTTGTAGGTTCTTTACGCCCCTTCAATGTCTCCCAGAGAAAAGAGGATAGGATACAATACCTTCGTGATTATGACAACAGCTTAACATCTTCCCGAAATGGTGGATCGGATGAACGGAAGAACGGAAGAGCAAGTATTCCTTACCCGGACTTACTCAGAGGCCTACATATACTAGTATACATGTACCTACATAACAGCTAGTTCCAAGTATTAACAGAGGTGAATTTCTAGGTCTGTACCTTCAACTTCTCTCATCCTCCGGATTGAATGGGGGTATCAGACATTGACTAGCTTCGAACGGATACACACACTACCTCCAGCCAGAGACACAAGGCGGTGTATCGGAGGGCTGGTAGGTTAGTTACAAGTATACAGGCAGCAGAATCCTCCTCGAATGTCTATCAATCTTAAGAAGTCTAATTGAGCACAAGACAGCCCGTCCATCTCAAGAGCCATGATACCCAAGACCCCTCGACGTCGTGGGTCCATCTACTCATCGCACAGCGGCCAGGGCGATGAAGGATCTATTACAGATACGGTACGGGCTTAAGTTTTCCCTTAGACACCGATATGCCCCCCAAAACCGGGTTATCTTTCAGGGGGTTAAGCTCTCTCTCTCTCGCCGGAGCTTTTCGGGGAATACTTCCCGCAAAATCGAACTAGCGCGGTGTGGGTTCCAGACTAGCCCACAGAAAATGCTGGGTAAGTCAACGGAGCGAGTGACCGGCCATGATTGTGCATGTCAGGCACTCCAGCAATCAAACTACACCCTTAACTTCCCCATTACACCACATAGGTTCCTGCAGGCTGTAAAGCCACTCTGGCATCAAGTGTCGCTCAGGTCCTTAGTTGGTGTGATTAATATGAATTTGGATCCATCGGGCTACATTCCGAGATTCCTTTCATCTACTAGCAAGTGGATGCCCTCCGTATGGTCTCTACGAGACTGGTGCATCCTCTAATTGTGCACTTTGGCGGCGAACGAGTCTTTGTTTAAAAGGGTTTTTCTTAGAAATCTAATTCCTTGAACTCGGAGGTTTTGCTCTTTTCTCAAGAGAATAAACAGTTTCTATACATCTGGCATCATGATAAAGGTCACAGTGTCTCCCCTTCCCTCCCTAAACCCCTCAAAGCCAGAGGGAACTCAACTAAATGCATTTGTGTACAGGATCTAATAAATTAAATGAGGTAAAAACACCGCCAGGCACTCTTCCGGACATTTGATACACCAAAAAGAAAACCGACGATACATTATAGTTAGATATTACCGAGTAGGTGCTATAAGACTGCCAGCTAAGACCGTTTACACCTATGCAAAATGAACGCACCCCTCTCCCAGTCTCCTACTCCTCTTCTAAAAACATTTTGTAGGTACAATCCTTCAAACTCCTCCCAGGTAAGTAGTACAATCATGATCCAAAAGAAAAGTTGTCATTAACCATTCTCCCTTGTCTATACTTCTTTTGGCGTTTACACCTTTTAGCCTAGAAACCCAATTGTCTCCCGATTATCATCTATAACTCTTCCATATCTGAACACCATTTGTTAGCCGCTAATTATTAAAGGATGGCGCTGGCCCAACTTACTCTAACAACAGCCTGAAGAACCAGACTTCAAAATCTTCTTTCCTTAACACCGCTTTTGCCCACTTCCTACCCTCCTGCGCAATCTTTTGAATGGCTCGTTTTCCCTCCTGCTCCATCTCAAAGTACCTCATCATCTCTGCAATCTCCTCGAGATCCATCGAAACGGGTACGTAATGCACCCAGGGCACAATCCACTCTTCGTGCCACTCACGGAATATCGCCTGTTTGAATACGGCACTGTTGCTTTCAAGGAATGCGTAATATCGTCCTGAAAAAGCGTTGCCATCCATATCGAGGAGATATTTCCATTGCCATGCATCATCTTGATCTGCTTTGGGCGCGATGTCAAAGAATTCATGCTGATCATCGCAGTCCTTCGCATCGCATTGGCCCACATGGGAGAAGCGGACATCGAATAGACCCGACAAGCTCTCTCGTTTCACTTCGCGGACACTCCAGTCACCTGACCCGCCGTGATGTTCTTGGACCAAGATTTTGGCAGTTTCATTCTTATTTATGACTGTGACGGTATGCTGGCGATGTTGACGCTTCCAGCCCCCATTGCGAGAGAATCCACCGGTAGTGGAACCTCGCCAGTAGAGGTTGGAATGTTTTTGGTCCCAGTCTATGTCTTTTACGTCATCGTATTCAACTCTACCGGCCCAATACCAAGGGGATGGGTACAAGATGTCGTTAAAGGAGGAGGGCTTGCTTTGGGAAAAGACAGGGATAAGTTGATGCGCTACGTTAAATGCGTTGGGACGGTCGAAGAAACCATGGCGACGCTGGAGACTAGGGGATAGACAGATATCTGACGCCTCTGTTGTGTTGGTTATGAATCCAAGTGGCTGGACTGAAAATCGATCAATGTCGTCTTTGACGTCAATATCAATCGATTTGGCAGGTGAATCAGCTGGACAGGACATTTGGGCTCCATTCCAAGTGGGCTGGTGAGCAAAAACATTGAACAGAGTTCGAGGAAAGTCCGGTACCGATCCGCGCTCCTCAGCCGGCAATGGTGTGAAATCATCGCTGAGAGGATCAGAGCTTTTGATTCTGGACAACACGGTGTCTGCGCGATCGAGGTACTGGGTCAACATGTCGTTCGGAACAACAATTCGCGGTTCATCGTGTATATTGAAGCCAAGTTCCATATCTGGTAAGAAAGTGACAAATTTCTCTACCATGAGCTGAGTTGCCTCTTTTTGCCAATCTGGGCCTTGTCCGCCAACGTTGATAGCACCATTTCGGATTGATGCATGGAGAAGCTTATTATTATGGAGTCCGATGGGGTCGTTGAAACCTATAGCTTCCCTAGCGCGCTTCCTGATTTCTTGTGGTGGAAGCCCCCAGAAAGGCTTGAGCGAGTGATATATGGTGTCGTAGTTATCTATTATGACGGAGTCTCTGTTCTTCGCATATTCGTACCACTTATCAAAGCCTGGTGGAGGATTCATATTATAGCGTCGCCGATACTCAATGACGGCCTCTGACAGTGAGTTTGATTGGCTTTCTTGCATTTGCTTGTAGCGTGCCTCAGCATCTTGGATAAGCTTTGGAATTGGATGCCCGGAGTTAAGTACATGCACATGCACTGATGCACTGGGTGTTTTCGGAGACATTCCAATGTTTTCGCTAAAATATGCAAACCCCCACATCACCAGAGCAGTGAGAAAAAATACAAGGATCGTCACAAGTTGCGCTGAACGTGTGTGGAATAACTGCGAGAGGGCAGCTGCACGCTCGGTGCCAGGTTTTGCAGTGAAGTAACCAGACATTCCGACGAAAGCACCAACCATCCCGAGAAACCTTATCACCGAGAATACCGAAAATATTCCCATCAGGAGAGTCGTAGTTAATTCTAGAAACCCTACACTGACAGCGGAGTATCTCATCATCTGATAAATTAGTGATTTCATCCCAGACCAGATGAAGAATAACAGTACTCACCACAAACGGTGTAAGAGCCCATTGAGCGGCGCCCAGCGCAGATATAACAATCAGCTTCAATGCCAATAAGATTACACCTTCTTCAAAATATACGCCCATGTGTCCCAAGATTCTCAAGGGAAACCGTTCGAAAGTGAGGCTGGCCCCCAAAAAGCCTAGGGACAAATACATCCCCAAATCCTTCCCAATCAATGCACAATTTCTCCAAGGGCCAAAACTCCCTGTAGAGTTCGAATTGGGCACCCCAGAAACATCCGACAATTCTGCCAGACTTCGCTCCAGTAATACCAATGCTAAGGCCGAAAATACAGCGCTACAAACACCAAGTGCCAATACAGAACTGCTCACAAATGCCGGTTGTAAAGCTATTGCTGAAGCCATCATGACTAGCACCATAACCCTTCTCATCCCGCGGAGCGGTAATCCACTGGCATTATCAATTCTCCAGGAAGATCGTATGAAATATGCCGCTGAAGGAATACCTGCCTTTGATTTTTATGGATCCTTAATCAGCATCTCGAGCGTATATTACTAATGAAAGACATTCCACAAACCTTCAACCAAGGACTCTCAACACCGCTAGCGCTTTCGCAAATACCTGCAAGTAGTATACTACCCGCCAACATTATTGGAATTCCTCCACCAGACCATCCACCCCCACCACTAATACTATATCCTTTTCGACGTCCCGTTCCGGTTCCCGAATACCGCCCAGCCTTAACCCTTGTACAGACACCCCATATTATCCCCCATGTTAGTGCTGACGCGAATAGTGAGTGCTGGTCAATTTTCCATGCTGAGCACAAAAAATTGAGCCCCAGAAGTAGTACAGCAGATACTGGGGATCCTGAATCATTGGCATATGCCTTGGCAGCGTTGAATCCAATTGGCGGCAGGCCAGGAGACCGAAAGGGTAAACCAGGGGATGGAAGACTCGCAAGAAAACTCATTGCGACTTTGTGTCGTCGTTTTTAACAGTATAAGTAGTGCCTAAGCATGTAATATTCTGCGCAAATAAACCAAGAAGTTCTTTATTCTGGTAAATCGGTTGCTGCAGAATGTTTGAATGGGAATTGGGATTTTCTGATGAGTTGTTATCAAGAAAAGGAGTTGCCAAGGAGGTGGAGCCTCAAATTTGTCCATGCTACTTCCTACTTATACGTGTACCTTACGTGTTGAAAACGAATCTAGAAAAAGCGTCGTAATTGACACGTGCATCCTATAGCCAATCCGTCATCAAAGATTTGGGCAGTTTGGGGACTCCTTGTAACCATTGATGTGTTTGGCAGACTGCCACAAATTGACTCAAGAACCTGGGATGTTAGAGAGAGTTTGCTGGCTATGTACTCGATTAGTGATCTTTGAGATACAGTTAAGACATCTTGCTCCCGTACATTCGTTCTATGAAGAATTGATCAGCCAAGGTAACACCCCTTAATCAAAGGAATATTCCGAGCGGGGCGACGCTACACGTACACGCGGAGATCCGATAAGATAAGCATGTCTCAGATGCATTTTGAGTATTTTCAGATCTAGAAAATGGGAAGTAAATTTAACGTTTTTAATCTAGTACCGTGTCAGACTGGGAAATGGGTCGTTATCATGTAATTAAATGAAGTACTGGATTAGTTGGCCGTGCACTGAGAGTTCTCCTGAGAATGAACCATGAAAGTCTAGTATGAAACCAAAAGAGAAAATATTAGGGTTGTCTCGATCAAGTGTGTACTTCATCTAAGACGTGGGAACCCGGGAGGTTTATTACTATTACGGATTAGAGGTTTGTAGGGCCAATGACAATCACGTTCGGTCTGGCTATACACAGAGCAGCTAGCCACATGTAGAGTGACGTGTAGGATCAACTAAGGACTCTACATGAACTTGACAGCTCAATTTAATTCATCTTCCTCCATTGAGGTCCGAGGCCTTCTCATACTTCTATAAGTGTTGCTAAGATGATCATCGAATTCTTCTGTGAGACTACTTATACACTTGGGCACGTACAATTGAAGAACTTGGAAAAAACGCTGGGAACAGAGATCGATTTCGACTAAAGGGAGAGACTTATTTAATTAAAACATTGTAGTAAGTTCCAATTTAAGTCACCGTACTCTACTGCCAGGAATGCATGCCGTAACAATTGCAATGCAGTATGTGGCTTCCAATTGGAATGTAAATATCTACATGTACATCATATAATTCACTACTCTACAGGTTCTAGTACTTGCTAAAAAAAAAAAAAAAAAATGCTGCATGTAAGCATGCACTTCAAATGTTATTACCTTGGCCGTCGATCACAAAGGGTTCACTACCAAGGGCTGGGGTTCAGAATCGATATCATTACTCGGGTTATCCTTGGGCGTAGCGGATAAAATGCTACTGCCTCATCGATCCGGCATCCGTGCATGGATCTCTCTGTATTTTGAACTCTAACCCCCGGTGATAGGCGCACCAGGAAGTGACGGCCAATGGATCAACATCTATATATCGTTAGTACCTGAGCATCAACATTCCTACTTCTGAGTCTAGCATCACGGCTGCTCAACGAGAAAATACTGTGAACTTTAACTCAAACGAACTTCAATTCAGGGGACATAAACCGTGAATTGCAGTGTTAAGATTGCCTGATGAACTGCATTATGCAAACAAACGCGATAACAAATAAGTCATTATATATCATAATATAGTTCCATTAACATCGTTCAACGTTATAAATACAATGATAAAACACAATAATATCCCAAAATTACCAGCGATAAAAGAGACCTATTATCGATTCACACAACTACTTTCATTTTAACTTCTCAACAGTTCCCTCGCGGTTATCTCTTACACTCCTTCTCTTTTGGCGTTCTTTGATCTTTTTCTCTTCTTGTCTCAGCTGAACAAGTCTCTCCTGATGCAGTCTCTCATGAAGCTGGGCTTCTTCCATGAAGAGCGGTCTCCATGGGCCATGTTTCTCACACTTCTTCTTGAGACAAACGCCCTCCCTCCCTGGTATCCTCTCTTCCTTGAAGACTTCCTTTCCTTCCTCAGAGTTCCTCCATGCAGCCCACTCAACCTCACCAAGTGCAAACCTTTCATCATATCCGCAGATCTCTTTCCCGACATTTCTAGATTCTGGGTCTGCTTTAAGTTCTTCATGAATGCGCTTCGCCCGCTGATGTGTCCAGTCAAGATAACGCCCACGATCCTCAACAAGATGCCTTTGGTTTTTCAACGACTCACGCTCCTTGGCAATTGCTACAAGACGTTCAATCTCTTCCGGATAGTCACGGAAATTCTCGTCAGATAGTGGTGGTGTTGGCATGCGGTAACCAATACGACGGAACTCGGTGGCGGAAGAGACACCATTGGCAACGACGGCCAACTCAGATGATGAGATGGCGGGACGAGACAATTGTGCAGCAGTTTGAAGTTTGAAGAATTGAATGCCGTGTTCATCGCAGCAGTACTTTGATGGTTTTGGGCGTTTATCCACTTGTGCAGGACGACGACAGACTGGAAGACGGCATTTCCGTTTCCATGTGGTAATTCCGTGACCAGAAACTTCACAGCGAGGGCCTAGACAACGTTAGTGGGGTATAAAGGGGGAAGCGCGGTCATGAAGCTTACAAAAGTATTTATCAATCAAATCCCCGTCTTTCTCGGCAACATTAATGCATTCCCCATGGAACCAATCCTCACAACCATCACATCCAATCATCCATTTTCCAGAATCAGGTTTCCGGCAGACACAATAAAGTTCCATACCTTCGGCATTATACTTCGGGAGAGGTGATAATGGGAGAGGTGGTAATGATTTTGTTGGCGGCGGGGACTCAGTTTCGCGTCTCGGTGGAATACTGGCAGGTCGCTGGCCATTGACCTGAGCGTGGCTCGGATTAGAAGCGAGGCTCTTCTTCTTCCTAGACGAAGCAGCAGGTCTTACAGGAATCTCGGATTCCAGATCATCCTCTTCTACGTCAACCTTCCGCTTCTTCTTTTGGGGCTTTGCAATTCCCTTCTTCTTTGCGGGGACATTTTTTGCCGATGGGCGTTTCTTAGATTTGGCAGTAATACTGGTGGTTACAACATCTTTAAGATTTTGTGAAACGGTAGAAGGTGGGGGGGATGCTGATGCCGCAGGTGGCGAAGAGCGCAAGCCCTCCTGGACCATTGGAGTCGGCGAAAGACGGTAGTCAGTCAGGCCCTGCGGTTTAACATTGTCCTCGCCCATTTCCTCATCTTCCTCATCTCCATCAGCATCTCGCTCTGAGCTGCTGGCACGAAGAATTTGGGTGAAGTCGTTTGATGATTTGTGTACCGCAGAGTTTCTCATAGGAGCCACTCGACGTGGAGAAACAGGTGGTACCGGAGAGGAGGAAACCGTATCAGAAGACGAGGAATCATGGTGTGTCGCTATAGGGGTTACAGGAGACCGATCACCATCGTGCTCATTATTAGGAAGACTAAAGGAATTGCGATGATGGTGATCTGCAAATAATACTAGAGCGCTGGCAGCTTCTTGCGTATTGGTCGCGAGTCCATATTTGTGCACAGGTGGAGGGCTTGGGAGACGTGTTGTGACGGGGGACGAAGGGCCAGACGAAACAGGATTGAGGAGATCCTGTAACGATGACATAGTGTAAGAGAGTTATTTTTTTCTGTTTTAGCTATTTCTCTGTGATAGTGATAGAAATTGGGGAAATTGAGTGCAATTTTGAAAATTTCTGGAAGGTTCGTCAGAGAAGGTGGATCGTCAGATGAAGCTGTGAAGCTCTGTTGGGAAACGCGTTGACGTTGAAGATGGGCCAACATCAAGATTGTCGCCAAGCCCTGTATTACCTCCAGCCTGTGTCACCATCCATGATTCGCTTACGGGTGCTCGAGTAGGGGTGAGTTTCGGAACAGTAGCGCCCAAAACGGCCGGCGCCACCACAGCCACTGTCACAGGCTCCCTGATCCGCGGTAGGAAAGCATCTATCTTACTTCATTTCACCTGTCAGCTAGGAGGACTGTTTCCCCGCCGAATGCCCAAGTTGATGTTTCAGATGTGGAGTACGCCATTAACTGTTGCTGTCAATATTAGACAATAACATGTAGGTATTGGAGGTTACGTACATAATGTACATGGCCAGACAGACTGTTTAGAGGAACGCAGAGGCTGGGCCTGTAGAATACACATATTATATCGACTACATGCTTTGTTTGGGCTTTTAAAGAATATATGTACTTGATGGTTTCACAGGTTGTAAGTATCACTGGTCAGCATAGGAGAAGTACATGTAGATGCGGTGAATGGTAGCCTGGTTGTGAAATAGATGTTTATGGAATACTACATGTAATAACAATACCTGGTCATTTATTTTTCAGTACATGTAGTTCATAATGTGATAAATCAACCAGATATGCGACGGCGAGCGCGGCTTAGGCAACGATTTCTGCCTATAGTCACCTAGCCTTACTACATATAGTACGGAACGGAAGTTCTGATATTCCGTGCTTGCGGCTGGACATGTCGCCCGGGTATTAAATTTCTTGATATGGATAAACCATCACCTACTAACGCTGACTGACTAAGTCTCAATACTCAGCACTGTAGAGAGTTTACTATTTAGACAGTGTGTTTAGCGGCTAGTTCAACTAGCATCTTATGGCTTTAACTGAATTATCTCTCGTGATCTGGCGCCGCCAGTACCGTGGCCGGTGCACTGATTAATTGTAAAAAGTACCACTAGGTTTATAAAACCAGCAACCGTACCGAATCTTGAAGCGTAGGGTTTTTCAACAAAGGGGTACTGCGGTTGACTCGACTCCATTTTATATTTTGGTATTATGATCATAGCTGGTACGTTGGTAGTATATTTACTGATATAAAAAGTACATGTACCGACAGCTGCAGTTGTGCATCACGTGCAACCTGCAATTTTAATGGTTCAAATCACAATGTATCACTCGATTCGGTATCACCACAGAAGGCCTTGGACACCAAGCCACCAAATCTCGTTGCCACATCATCTAAGGGGCTCGGGAAGTCACACAAAAACGTGCAGTACAACGCTTCTGGATCTTGAAAGTGTTAGATTTATCTAGAAGGCTCTCGGAAAAACCCCATTGTATTGGCACGAGATCGCTTTTAAGCTTAAATACCGGTCGAACCAGCCGCCTTGGCAAGCAGTAACCACCCGTTTTGAATACGATAGGTACATGCATGTGCGTAGGTCGACGTAGACATATTGTAGAGTAGGCTAGCATTCTGAAAAACGGCCATCGGTCAGAGTAGCGCATCTGCAAGGTACATATAGGTGCATGTATATACAAACATATATGTTACATGCCCCATAAGAGGTGCTCATGGTGTCACTCATGTCGATGAGTGTCTACCTAATGTAAAGAAAGCACTCAACTCTCTAGTGACCGAATTATGCTACCCCTATCACACGAGGCTATACCCAGGGCTAGAATATTTGATAGGAGTTGTTCCCTCAATGTTTCTGTAGCCCTAGGTGCTCCACTCATAATATTTCCTAGCTCGGGTAATATGTAGATGAGAGAGGCTACGACGCTCTAGAGTATCGTCGGCTGGTCGAGATTTAGGTGAGTATCAACTGCTTGTGTGCATGTGCATGCACCATCCAGGTCAAAACAATCAGTTTCGATGATAAAAGCAGTGAGGGGCCTCCTTCTGGCAGTCTGAGCCCAAGAGTCTTGACGTCTAATCCAATCCAGGCAACGCTGCACAGCGAAAGGAGAGGAACTAAGACAGCCTTGTCGCCATGTCTAGCATCGAATGTAGGTCTTGCAACTTGAACAGGGCCGAGCAAGTGTGCGTAATAGCCGATTGGGCACAGACACGGAATTGGCAGCTTCTTCTAGACCATTTAAATCTTTCAAATCGAATGCCTTCGCATGAAAGAATTTCCTTTGAATCTGTTTAGCTTCCTCATGTGACACGTGTGTGGGGAGACGCGCCCAAACATCCTTGTACCAGGTACACGAGGCTACTGGTGGCATTATCTTTGATAACTTCGTACAAATCCAAATCCTTGGGCTCCGATCCGCCTGTCCTTAAGCTTGGACACCTTAATGATAATCGCAGTCCCCTTTTCTATAAATTCTCGGTGAGTCTGCTAGAAATCACTGTACATTCAGTTTCAATATACTTGCATCAAGGTTTTCAGTCCTCCACCATTTGAGGAGTTCTCAGTAGATCGTTATAGAGTGCATATATTAGGAGATGTCGGTCTCAAGCTTGGATGATCCTCTCAATTTCATTCGCGCAGAGGACTTCTTTGCGTCAGCACAGCGATTCACCGGACCTACAAAGATAAAAAAAGTTCAAATTTCATCAAATCCTCGAAGACCTACCGATCCTATTATCCTGGAACGTGGCATCGCTCTCCTTTTTGACGACAGAACTATTTGTGTCATTCAGTTCATCAGACCTACACTCTGGAGGGTTAGATATGATCCCACAGTCAAAAGTTTAAATGGTTATAGAGACGAAAATACGTAAGTTGCTCAACTTTGTTTGTGGGAACGCATACAAAGTCCTAGTTTTGCTGACTTTGATCGCCAAACGTACAGTAGGACTATCGTCCAGGATTACATGTCTCGGCTTACTCACCAGCTTGATCTTGAAGAAAGATGCTACTGGAATACCACTCTCAGCATGTCCGGCGATGGAAAACATTACATCTTCTCGGTAAATAATAACTTGGTTTTGATTTTGGTCTTTGCACTACTTCCGCTGATTTCTATATCACGTCCCTGTTGATAGTCCGTCAGGTATAACTCGCCAGAGGACCTCATGGCTAGCAAAAATGGGAAGGTGATCACCATGATATATTTGTACAAACACCCTTTCCGCATCCAGGTGCGTTATAATAGATGCATTCATAGTACCTCTATCGTTGCTGAATTTAGTAGGTTGTTCGTAGATTGCATGCTGCTCCAGATATCTACCCAATCCCTGCAAGCCACCCTACTCTCTCGGTAGTTCGTGAAGCAGAAAAGGTTGTTTGGCAGACCTCAGAGAAAACTTTCCGTTGGAAATTTGAAGAACCTTTGGTCAAAAATATAGTCTTGGACGTAGTGAAGGCTGGACCCGGCGAATTTCTAGGTTTTGGAGAACAGGGAGGCAAGAACTTTTTGAAGAAACCCTCTTTCATGAATTATTACAGTCAGTCTTATGAGATCTCTTCTCATCCTAGACCTTTATTCTGTTCCGTTCCGCTTTACTAATCCAATTACGCTGTAGACTTCGATAATATGCTCTATAACCAGACATATAACGTAGGCGCTCTTGATAACCGTGAGCCATTGTAAGCACTCACTTATCATTTTGGGACATAACCTATGCCTGCCTATTACAGCCATATATAGGGCTGACAATAATTTTGGTTGGGGATTAGATACCATTCAGACCCGTATTTCTTGGATGTAAATTCGAATCCGTCCTATCAGAATGTCACGGCGACATTCATCGATAATTACTCTCAAGTTTGCATTGACTTTGCAAAGACCAATGCAGGTCGTATAAAACTTGCAACAAGGTTCGGTGGGATGGATGTCTATTTGATGAGTGCCAAGGATATTCCAGAGGTTGTAAAGTATGTGGTAATCTGGTTTAGCTATATTTTATTGCGTACTATTGATATATCATCTGTTGGTATAGATATTGGGCTGAGCTAACATGTTATTTAGGCTTTATACTAGCATCCTCGGAAGGCCAAGGCTGAAGCCCAAGTATGTTTTAGGACATCACCAAGGCTGTAAGTTTATCCTGCAAACTAGGGGGTGTCGAAGTACATGGATCTTGGTTTCACAGTAATATTCAGATCTATTGGCTAATATCTGAATTTATGTAAGGTTATGGCTACATGAACCAAAACGATATTGAACAGGCCGCTCAACGCTATCGTGCACACGAAATTCCTTTAGATGGGATACACATTGATGTCGACTTTCAAAATCAATACAGAACATTTACTATTGATCCAAGAGCATTTCCTAATCCAAAGGAAATGTTTGAAGGATTAAGACACCGTGGATTCAAATGCTGTACTAACATCACACCTATAATTAGTTTGAATGGTGGGCCCGACAACAACGACTACCCTACGCTGAAAGAGGGATTGGAAAAGAAGTAAGTGTTAGTTCCTGGCTAGATGTAGTGCCTTCGTAACCCTTGATCTTTGCTCCAACCAACATGTAAGATATTTATGAGGCTAACAATATCTTTCCCCGTAACAGCTATTTCGTGACGGATGATAGATATACTCAAGGCACTAGTGGCAAAGCCTCCGATGTTCAATATGTTTGTTACTCGGGGGGATCGAAGATCACAATTGACCCTAAGGATATCCACCAGCGTCCAGGCTTTGGAGATGACTAGTATGTTTTGATGGATTTCATAAAAATAAAATAGATCTGGAGATAATTGTGGTATGTTATACTGATTTTTCTACAGTAACTTTGAGCAAACCTGGAATAGTAAGAAGCCATATCATGGAGGAGTGAGTTACGGGGGGGATCTTGGAGCTGTAAGTGATCAGCCTCGTTGAAATAACTGTAAGGTTCTACATTAGGATACAGCTGTTGACAAAATGACACATTATAGGCAGGCTACTATCCGGACCTCAACGATCCTGTTGTTCGTAAGTGGTGGGGAGAGCAGTATGCATATCTCTTTGACCAGGGTCTTGAATTTGTCTGGCAAGATATGACAACTCCCTCAATTGCTACAGCTTATGGTGATATGAAAGGGTATGTTATGAAACCATTATAACATGCTGGCCTCGAAACTCATAACCTGCTCTTAGGTTTCCTTCACGCTTAAACCTAACATCCGACGCAATATGTGCGACAGAATTGAAAAAGCAGCCGGCAATCGAGATTTGGGCTCTTTATTCTTATAATCTTCACAAAGCGACATTTCAGGGTCTTAATAATCTTCCTTCGCGTCGGAATAAACGAAATTTTATCATTGGCCGTGGAAGTTTTGCTGGCATGCATCGTTACTCTGGGCTGTGGACGGGAGACAATGGAAGCACATGGGACTTTTGGAAAATTTCAATTTCACAAGTACTATCACTTGGGCTCAGTGGAGTCAGCATTGTTGGCTCCGATATCGGCGGTTTCATGCCTAATGGGAATGAGAAGTTTTGTGACCCGGATCTACTCATCCGTTGGTACTCAGGCGCATTTTTACTGCCATGGTTTAGGAACCACTACGTAAAAAAGAATGGGGGGAAGTTATTTCAGGCATGTCTATCATTGGCTTTTCGTTTGAGTTAAGCAGTATTAATGGATTTGGCATGATTAGGAACCCTATGCGTACACGGATTTCATAAACAAGCATCCCGAGCTTGAGAGAGAACAAGGATGGCTCTACCGCTCCGTAGAGGTTGTTTGCAGATACTATGTGAAACTTAGATATAGTCTCATTCAACTTCTTTACGACGCGATGTTCGAGAATCAGATCAATGGTCTGCCAATCGCGAGGTCTATGGTAATACAATACCTCCGACGGATAGGCTTGTTAAAAGCTTGAATTGATCATACATGTGAACAGTCAAGCTAACCAAAACTTGCGAACGTAGTTGATGACCGATACACTTGATGCATCATTTTACAACGAGTGCCAGGATTACCTGGACAGCCAGTATCTTGTTCGTCGGGATCTACTTATTGCGCCAATCATGGACAGCCATACCTTAAATAATGGGCACACAGTCGTGTACCTCCCGGCACCGAATAAATGGTACACATTCAACCTAAGGATCGATGGAAGCCTGGGAGTTGCATTAGAACCAGCTATTGAAGGAGGCAGCATGTTGGATTTTGATGCACATATTTCGAGCGAAATATCTCATATCCCTTATATCACACCGATTTTCATTAGAGAAGGTAACAAGGTTATCTCCCTGATTAAGAAAATGGGCCGCTAACGTGTATTCAGGTGGCATTATTCCTCAAATAGAGCCTCGTCAGTACATTGGTGATGGCAAGATAAACCCTATAACAATCCATGTCTATCCCGGAAGAGATAACGTAGGTTCCTTATCGTAACTTGATAGTATGCCTGACTAAACCCGTCTTTTAGACCTATGAGATGTACCTTGATGATGGGGTTAGCCGGAGCAGTGCGCCTAGTATCTTACCACAATATGCATCACCCGTCATGGTTGAAGATGATTTCGACGAGGGTGATTGCGATATAACGGCAAATGACGAATACCGAGAAGTCTGTATTCAGCAGGTAATTCTTTCCCTACACACATTTATATTGCCTTTCTGTAAGATTCTCATGCTTTGTAATCTACAGATTACAAATGGTTCATCCCGGACTGTCACCATCCACAACAAGCACGATCAATATGACGCCAGGCAAGACGTGGGGGACACGTATACTATTGTTATATGGCACGACCAAGGCACTGATCTCAAACACTGCTCGGTGAGCATCAAGGACCAAGAGGGTGGCTATATTGGCCAGTATAGAACGGACTACAGACTAGCGGCAACGATAATTACTATCCCCGTACCGGAAGGGACCAAGGACAAGGCCATTATAGAAGTTGCTAATATAGTATTTTGAATTGCATAACTCATAGACTGTGAGGGTAGTTGTATTAGATTAATGAGTAGGATGTTTATATGTTTTATTCCCCCCCCCCCCCCCCCCCTTTCCATTAATTTATAGTCAATTATGTATTTATTCTAGATTTATGTCGGTTATATTTATGTAATCTAATCATAATGTAATGTAGATATATATTCAAATACCATAGAAGATATCAATATATAGATCAAGGCGTTTTACTCCCCTGAGGACTGTGTCAGAGTGTTCGAGATCTTTTCTTTTACTATAAATCTCACTCGAGTTTGAATCACACGATATCACTCGATGATTGTTTGGGAAATTTGTGTGCTAAAAAACCGAAAGGAAAGTAGACAAGTGCACATATAGGTAGATAGTTGTCCTATACTAACCGCTGTAGTAATGCAACGAAGTATTCCTTCTTCCCCACCACCCGGGTATCCCGCCAGCCAAGCATCTCTCCCTACATCCATGCATCCATCCATCCATCCATCCATCCATCCATCCATCCATACACACACGCACCCCTCCTACTCCCTCCTCGCCAAACTCAACTCATCAAAGTACTGCAACGTATTCTCAATATCAATCTCCTGCATATAGAACAGGATCTGGCGCTTCTCCACGCCCGCCTCCTTCGCAATCATCTCCAGCACCTCCTTCATGATCCTGTCCTTGGCCTCCTGCGGGCGGCCGCTCTTGCAGATGGTGTGCACCCAGATGAGGGTTCCGACGGCGGCGGCCGTGGGCAAGCCCCCGTGGTAGTGGTCCTCGGGGGCCAGGTGCCGGAAGATTACCTGCACGGCGACGCGGTCGGCGCCGGTGAGCGTGCAGTGGATGTTTGTGATGTTCTCGGCGAGGGTGGCCTTTTGGGAGGCGGTGAAGGGGAGGGTGGTGTTGAGTTGGAAGGTGGGCATTTTGGATGTTGAGCTGGGGGTTGTGGTAATGATAGTGTTAGCCGATTGGTAGAGATATATATGGGAAAGTGGATGGATGGAGGGAAGAGTTGTGGGCGCGGGCCGGGGTGGGGTTGCGGGGGAGTGACTCCCTGGTTGGGCCGAGATATCGCTATCACCGCAACCTTGCCAATAGCAGATAGCAATAGTAGCAAATAGTAATTCACCTTCTAAGGCGCAATAAGGAAGTCCAGTCCAGCAGTAGCTACAGAGATGAGATGAGATGATATGTAATTGTCTCATCAACTGTAACTGTCTGACCCACCGCCCGCTCTTAAAGCCATCCCAAAGTCTTGGACGTCGGCACCTCGGGCTAGTTGCTCGATGCCAATGACTAATTCACCCCCCGAAAGCCCTTAACCAAGCCCGTCAACACCGGCAGGGTTAGGATAAATGCGGACTATATGTACTCTACCAACTACAGTCTACAACCTGTAACACCGGGGGAGCGCGGCGGCACCATTCATACCGACAGAATTATCATTGCAACCAACACCCAACCATGGGCGAGCTCGAAGACGCAATCGCCCGCGCCGTAATCAGCGCCTACAATGCGCTCCCGGCAAAGAGCAAGCCTAAGCCCCGCCCCGACGCTACGGAATGGGTCCCGCTGTCGGGCGTGGTTCTGGAAACGGGGGAGGGCGAGGCTGTGTGTGCTGCGCTGGGGTGAGTGAGTGCTGATCCTGGATGGATGGGTGGATCTAGATTTTAATAAAGAAGGGATTGTGAAGGACTGGGATGAAGTGTCTTCCGCACTCCAAGATCCCGCTGGCGAAGGGACTGGTGCTGCATGATTGCCATGCTGAAGTTGAGTTTATCATGCGCTTTGTGGCTTTGTGGTGCGGTGGGGTTTGGAGACTGGAGGCTGATGGAGGGTGCTGCGGTGTATAGTTATTGCGATTAGGGCTTTTAATTGGTGAATTCCACAATAATAACTATTCTAGATCTACAACTAGTATTGTACTAAACTCTAGATAACTATCTACGAACAGTTTCATAATCGAAGAATGCTTCAAGCTCGCCAGCGACAGCACCTACACCTCCCAGTTCGTACATCGGCGCAGTGCTGAAGATATCACCGAAGACTCACCGCAGCCCTTTACAATCCGCTCCGACGTGAAGGTTCATTTCTACTCGTCCGAAGCACCCTGTAAAAACCCCCACCCCGATCATTACCCCTCCCCTAGCCTGTAGCACAAAATCTCACACAGCACAGGCGGCGACGGCAGCATGGAACTCACAATGTCCGCCCAGTCCGACGCCACCCCCTGGGCCCTCCCCACAAGCACCCCCACCCCGCCAAGCACCACCGCCTCTACTCCTGCCACCAGCACCCTCCTCCGCGGCCGCGGCTACTTCTCCTCCCTCGGCACAATCCGCACCAAGCCCGGCCGCGCCGACTCCCCACCGACGCTCTCCAAATCCTGCAGCGACAAGCTCTCCCTGCGCCAATGCACCAGTCTCCTCCTCACCCCCGCCGCCCTCCTCGTATCCCCTCACCACGCCTACGCCTCTACCGTCGTCCTACCAGAGACAGAGTACTCCGCAACTTCTGTCCAGCGGGCCTTCAGCGCAAGTGGCCGCATGGCGCCGCTGGTGGGCCGGAGGTGGCGGGGCGGGTATGAGTTCCGTCCGTTTGCGGTGCGGACGACGGGGGTGGTGTTTGGGTGCTCGAAGAGGGCGGCGGAGCGGGCGACGCCCGGGAGGGCCGTGGGGAGTAATGTGACGGCGGTGTGGGTGCGGGGGGTGGGGGGTGAGACGTTGATAGGGGGGGTGTTGCAGGGACGGAAGCAGTGGGCGGGGGTGGCGGGGGCGAGTAGGGTCTGTAAAGCAAGGGTCTGGAAGGCGGTTAGTGTTGTTGCGGGGGTGCTGGGGGAGAGGGCGCTGGTGGGGGCGGTGGCGGCGGAGACGTATGAGGGGGTGAAGAGGGGGGCGCGGATGGTGGAGAGGGGGAGGGTGAAGGAGGAGACGAGGGAGGTGCTGGGCGGGTGGGAGAGGAATGGGAGCGGGGAGTTTGGGATGATGGAGTAGTGGGGTCGGAGGTCAATGATCTGTGTAAGGGTCAATGATCGGTGACCGGTTTCTTGCGCTGGCCAATGGTCGGTTTGTAGAAACATAATTTTGGCATCTTATTGTGAGATGGCAATTCACAGGTAGATACATAGATATCCAAGCACGGTAATTGCACAGCATTATCTCCCGAGAGGTTCGTATTCCGGAATATGACTTCAATAGTACTATGACTTCTTCAAAGCTTCGGGACACAGTCCGGCCACAAATGGTATTCGATTAAGGAACAAACATTATCTATCTACAAACCCCATAAGCATCCCCACATCTCAACACCAGGTATATCATTCAGACAAGCACCTACATGCTCACGTATTTCCAGCCCCGCCCGCCCGGGCCACGCTCACTTCTTGCCGCCCTGGCGCTGCTGCTTCTCGCTCTCCTTCTTCTGGAGACTATCGTGCACCGCCTGCAGCGTGGCCTTCTCCGCACGCTTCCGTCCGATGTCCTCCTGGATCTCGCGCTGCTCCTTCTCGATACGATCGATAGCGCGTTGGTGCTCCTCCTTCTGCTGCTGCTGCTGCTGCTCGCTCATGGCGGGTGGTGGTGGGGGGGATGCCATTGGGGTCTGATCTTTTGCGGTACGGGAGCGGTGGTCGTCGTTGTCGTCGTCGTCGGTGATGGCTGGGAGAAAGAAAGGGCTGAGAGATGCTGCTGCTGCTGCTGCTGCTGCTGCTGCTGCTGCTGCTGCTTGCGGGTGAAGCGAGAGCTTGGCAGGCGCCTTGGCGGATGAGGGTTGTTGCGATAAGCGGTCAGGTCAGGGATTTGTGCACTTTGGGGATCGGTGCAGCGGAGGCGAGAGGGGAAGTGCGGAGTGAGTGCTGAGAGTCTCTCAGAGCAGCGCACCATCACGGAATTTCCCTCTTCATCCCTTGCAGGAGGAAGTGAAGCTGTGCAGAAAGAGCACCTCGATGCAATAAGCACGATCGTACTCTACTGCACGTACGTACATGTAGGTGCTGTAGGTACTCTCTGTCAGACCCCGAGGTCTCTCACTGTGAACATCCCGCCCGAGTGCTTGTCCATGACTGCGCGGGGTTCAGGCGAGCGACACTGCGAGTTAGTCTGCAATGGATCAGAGAACCCCCTCAGGGATCGGCTGGTCACAAGGCAATCCGCGCATCCATACATACATGTAGGCACTCTCCATACAACATGAGCTAGTTTGAGCTCATACCCACCGTTACTACGTAGACTCTGAAGGTACAGTACAAGTCGAGTACTTGAAGTGAACGAAGCTCTGAATGTAGGTACAACCCCATTCCCATCCCACATCCCACATCCCACATCCCACATCCCACATCCCCACACTACATACACGACTACATACACCGACTGCAAACATGCTCTCCATATTCAACAAGCTCAAGTCCGAGAAGCCCTCGAAGAAGAAGGCCACCACTGCTACTACGGCCTGCAATCAGCACGCCCCCAGCCGCTGGGGTGGCTGCAACTCTGACGGTGGTTGGGATGCAAAGGAGGTTGCGTGTGATAAGGAAGCAGGGTATGACTGACTGTCAACAAACTGACCGACCGACACCTCGTTGCAGCTAGCTTGGAAGTAGGTAGCTGACATGGAGAATAGTGCGTGTGGAGGCGGTTGCGGCGGAGGTTGCGGAGGCGGAGGGTGCGGTGGAGGGTCTGTATCTTCATCTTCTTGCTTGCTTGCTAAACAACTACCTACTCTACTGCGGTAGACTCCTGGGGTGTGACGCTAATCTGGTTTGAGATTTGCAGATGTGGTGGTGGTGCGAAGTAGAATGGCAATTCAAAGTACCATGTACCTAGGCGATAGTAGATACAGCCTACTACTCTACGTACTCTACTCTGCATACAGGGCTGGCTTTGACTTCTTTTATTTTTATGATATGTGCTTGTGTGCGTTACGTATGTGTTATCTATCTACCTTTCAATGAGCTTCTTCTTCTGGAACATTGCGGGCATTTTTGATATTTTGTTTTTTGTTGAACTGTTGAGAGCGTTGGAAGGGTCACGCCCGTCTTGAATTCACATGGCATGGAGTATCATTGTGTAGTGGTGGTGTCAACCATTATCATTTCGTTTTCTGCTGGCCTCAAGTACTACTACAACCTACTTTGCGGTCGTAACTAAAGAAATAGGAGTACATGTTTTGACTTTCCACACGATACTCCTCTGATATCGGGCAAAAGCAAGCAATCGAATCGAGAAGAAATTGGGAGAAGTGTATTTATAGCGGACATCCTTCTGGAACCATCACAATACATCTGAGCGCGGATGGAGATCCTTCCTTAACGGAGCGGAGTTTCTCACGAAGCCCGGTTGCGGGAGCTTCGACTTGTGTGAAATCCCGCTGAAATGAGGAGACGAACAGACGTCGTGCTACTTGCAGTCTTACGAGCTCGAACACGAAATTCTATCTTGGGGTTCTTCATTTCATTTTAAAATGTGGGGTGCTCGGGAGGCGGTGTTCTGTGTCATTGAAGAACGCTGCTATGCACAGGCCCTCGAGCCCCTTAGTTCGACTCGAGTGGAAGCTTATGACCCATGGCGTGATGGCTCGCTCGCTCGGGAAGGTACTTGGGGGCACTCTACACGAAAGTCCCACGAGATCACGTGCACCGCACGCTAGTAACATTGGTGAACAATCTGGAGTTTCAATATATCTGTCCAAATGACGACAGGTAGGTATGTCTATCGCAAAAAGGCCTCAAACAATCGCAACGTAGAGTCAATCGGGATATTCCCAGGCATTATAAATTACGCTACTACTACACACACATCATTTTGTGACAATTTCATGTAGTTGTGTCAGGCGGAAGAAGAAATCTTCTAGTTGCCATTCTGCTGCTGGACCACGATCTCGTTGGTTGGCAATGGGCCGGGGTCGGTCTCGGGGTTCATGCTAGTGACAACGTCGTTGAGCATTTCCTGAGCGACCCCGGGGTTCATTATGTCCGCACGAAACTGTGGCTGTTGAAGGAGTGTAAGAGCAGCGAGGGAGTGCACGGGGTAGCTAGAGGAGCTGAGTGTCAGCTTGTCGACCAGATATTAATGATCGCGGCAGAAGGGGGGAGTATTCGGACGTCAGGAGCTTGGCATATTCGGGCTTGCGCCAGTACTCGAGATAGACGACGTAGTTTACGAAGCGCTCATCGTCAAGGACCTTTGAATGTGCGAGAAAGTTCAGGTAGAAGGGATTGGCCAAGCATTGAACGAACTGCAAGATGATGTTAGTTGATATGCGCCTGGGTATGTAGCTAACCAGCCAGCTAGCTAGCTATGAAACAGATTGAGAATACGGGACGGGCAGGGCAGGATGGAGGAGACCTCAAGCTCGATCTCGAAGCGAGTGTAGGGTTGTTGTGATAGTGACATTATTATTAGGGGACCTGATGGGTTGAGTGCATGTGTCGCTGCTGGGTGAAGCCCTGGGACTGACTCGAATGCTTCATCGCTTATCACGCCAAGGACGCCGTGCAGAATTATACGCGTGGCACAATGTTCAGGTCACTTGTGGACATGAGGACGTCAGCACGCTTGGCAACTGCTGCTTGCAGATCCGAATCGGGACCGCGAAATCAAGTCCCAAGCCTGTAAGGTCCCCCAGGAGCTACCACAACTCTCCTTCCTTGGTCCGCAAGCAGCAGCAGCAGTAGCAGCAGCAGCATCACACTCGCTCAGCCAGCCCTCCCAACAACCGGGACAAGAGGCAACCCACTCTATTTTCTTCGTATTTTTATATTTTCAAGACACTGCTCGTTTGAAGCTTGCAAAAGTCGCTCCTTTAGATCAGATCTCTCCCCCTTCCTCTCTCGGCCCCGGCATTATTCAGGAACACAACTTTTCCGGTCTGTATGTAATTACTTCTTCCCTTCACACCACCACAGATATTCGTCGAGAAAGTGTTTCCAGTCAAAAGCCACACCCACCCAGCCTATCACAGCTCTCGCATCCCCACCTCTCGTTCATTCACTGTGCCTGGTCGTTTTGGGAGTTGATCCTTGGGGAGCCATCCATCACGTCGCCCCTAACCTGTCAACTTGTCCATTCACCCACACCTTTGTTTGATACTTGCTCTTGCCTGCTGTAACTGCACCCATCAAATCCATCCAACCCATCCATCCAACCCAACCCCAACCTAGCCAACCACTCACACCCAGCCAGTAACCCATCCCCATTTCCCATTTTATTCTCCTTGACCTCCCCCCGGTCATCCGCTCTCCGGTATCACAGCTGCTGCCGCTTACGGATTTCATCCATTCCACCCCACCCCCCTCCCCCCCCCCGGCCTTGTCCCTTATTTTTGACTCCACACCCCTCTGACCGTTCATTGTAGACTTACTTAGTTACTTACATAGAGTAGTAGAGCAATCAATACATACAATACATACAATCCATACCATACCATACCATACCATACCATACGAACAAGCTCTCTTCTCTCCCTCACTCGACTTTCCCGCATGCTTGCTTAAATGTCATGACCGCTGCCAATACTCCGGTCACTCTTTTTTGCTCCCCCTCTTGCCCGATCTTGACTATATCTCTACCATCCCCCACCATCTCACGCTAGGTGCAAGCAGCAATGCAGACATTTGGTATGAAGTTCTCCTCCTCATTTCCCTCTTTTTCCTCCCACTCCCACTCTTCAAACTCCACCACGTCTTCCTCTGGATCATCGTCTCCCCCGTCTCCTACGGCCTCTACACAAGCACCACACATGCCCCCCCGCCCCGTCTCCAGTTACACTTTTTCTTCCACCTCATCGTCCTCTTCATCGCTACGACGAGGTGTGCTGACGAGGGATTTCTCATTCGACGATATTATAGTGCCGAAAAACCGCCGGGTATGCTTTCAAACCAAACCCATTCTACTCGAACCGTGTCCTTAACAACCCTTTTTTTTCTTTCTCTTTTCGAGTGCTGACATGTGATTATTCTACAAACAGCCTAGATTCGATCTTTTTATAGAAGTAACAGCCCCCCGCCTCTCCCCGAGTATTGGCGAAACATTTTTTTGTTTCTTTCTTAGACATAGGGCCCGAGTTGACATGTTTCGCAGATCCACGACCTCAACAATGTCCCGCTCGTCTCCGGTCAAGCATACGTCAAATGGCATCTCCAGGGCTCAAATCGCGCCGAAGCCCGAGGGCGCACCACGAAGGAAACAATAAAGGACCATAAGGTCGCATGGCACTTCACGCATACCTGCGAAGAGATCCGGATGACAATTGGGCGAAATGGGATGCTGCAGGAACAGCTCCTCATCTTTGAGGTCTGCCAGGAGTATGCGGGCGCGAGGGAGCGCATTACACTGGGGACGGTGCAGCTCAATTTGGCGGAGTATACGCAGGTCCATAGGGATACAAGGAGGTATCTGATGCAGGATAGCAAGATTAATTCGACTTTGAAGGTACGTGGTTCGATATTTGATCCCGAAATACCGATATGTGGCTAATGTGGATGCGACACTTTTAGATCACAGTTGCGCTGACCCAGGTCGGAGGAGATGAAAATTTCATAGCGTGAGTTTTGTTACTCCAGAGTTTTACCCTTACCATGTACTGACGGGAAGTCATAGTCCACAATTACAAGGCGCCCAGGTTTTTGGTGGTATAGCAGGAATAATCGGAGAAGCTCGAGATGTGGAAGACCCCGGACGTGAGTTTGCAATCAACCCCCAGCATTGAGCTTGCCTAATCATGTACAGATCGTTCTATTTCCAGATTTCAAAAGCGGGACAGAAGCGCGATCCACGACATGTACCGCAGCACCCTCGCAGCTTCGTGGCAACTTCAGGCAGGTGAACTCAACCCGGAGGAATGCATAGATGATATCTTTGCCGGTGGTGATGGCTGGACCCCCCGCTCCGAACGATTCCGCCGTGGGAAACCCAAATCAGTCAGATATGAGGGGGGTCTTAGTCGGGGAGGAATCGACGGCAGTGATAGTGATTCGTTGAGCGCTGTGAGCAGCGGTGGGGGGAATTCAACCACAGGAAACACACACCTCGGTACCAGCGATCTGCGACGAAAGCGGGACGGTGATTCACTAAGCATTGTTAGCTTTGCTATACCACCTACGGAAAGGAGAGCAAGCGGCAGAAGTAGTATCCGGAGCACTAAGAGTGAACGAGAAGTTGACGAGGTGCGCGCAAGGGAGGATCTGGTTAGCTGGAAAATGCCAGCGGTGTCGCGATGACGGAAGCAATGGGGGCAACGGGAATGCGAGACTTTTCCCATTTCACGTGCATGCATGAAAGGCGGAGAAATGTGCCTATAGCCCATTGTTGATGGGCTGGACTTGAAGGGTATCGTGGGGTGCTGTGCCGTATTCCGGAGTAACAGCACCCTCCAGATCCAACAACCCTTGTTCTAATAAGTTATCGGATCAGGATTTATTAATTCCGTGACACCTTTTTTCCCTTATAACTGCATACGCATAAACACTCTCTTTATTTTTCCTTGTCTATCAATCTGTCGCTCGTTTATGAATCGTGTTTTCTCTCTCCTTGTCTGCATAAATACACGGGGTTCCGGGTTCGGGGGTGGACGGGCTGGCGGGTCTTTTCGTTATATTTCTTTACTGTTTGAATGGTGTTGGATATAAAAGTCTGCGATTGAGGTTCGACAGGGACTGTAAACAAGTGGTAGTATTTCCTTATTCTTTTTTGTATAACTAGTATCTAGTCTTTGGTTTCGGAGTTCTTTTGTATAATAAACATCCACGGCGGGGCGGAAATAGAATCTAAGATTTAGCTATCATGCGGACCGAATGGCGAGAGTGCGGGGTAGATGATCTAGATCTTGATGTAGGTGATTGCATGTATGAGTGATTTCCTGTGAATGAAATGGGGGCTACTCTGCTGTTCAGTGATTGGTGCTGGATAACGATCTTATTCCAACTGGGAGGCTTGCTACCCCGGAGGTGACTTGCGGCTCTGTATATTAATCAGTGACGTGGGACCCATGCCTATAAGCAATATTCGGCGTTGCGGAATATTTAGGCTATTGTTTTCTAGACCTAAGGTATCTATCGAGTGCACTTTATGTAGATGCATGTACGTGCGCTGCGTTTAGTGCTACGAAGGTACTAATTGATCACTATCCACAGGCTCACCCTGGTGGAGAATACAGCCTGTAGATGAATTAGAGATCTCGAGATGAAGTTGGGATATTAAAGGTACAGTGCAATTGCAGGAAAAGTAGACTCATACGACCTAAAATTAGGTGGGTAAAGTTAATTGGAAAACGTTGGTAGTACAACGAAACGATAGCACTGGCCTTAATTTGATACTTGCAGTTGACCCATCATCCTACTAGACTCAAAGGTGGTTTTTATTCACGATTATTTTGGATCGATTGATGTGTCCATACATTCTGCTACCGTGGGAGAGTAGTGTGTAAGTACTGGAATGCTTCTTGATAGGACATGCATGTATCAAGACACCCACGCTTACGGACTAATGTGGTTGTGAGTCCGACTTTGGGGTATAAAGGTACTCTCGTCTGTCTATTTTAATTTGTAAATAGTTCATGTTAAATATAACCTAGTTGAAATCTTGTCTTTTGGGGCTACATGATATCTAGAGTACGGTTCATGGGTAACCACCACTGCATGGGTTTCCCTCGATTCAACTTTGGTTACTTGCATGGTCCACCTGGTAAATAGTATAGTTGAGTATGCCTACCCGCACACTCATGATATTGAGATTTTATAGATTCCTAAATAAAACGATATATTCTCTTTGGCGTTACGTGGTTACTGAATTTAGGTCTTAATATGACGGTAGTGATCTCAGGCTAGGGTTTTGTGGTGTGAATCATGACATATCACTCAATGTCAATTCAATCCAATATTTAATCTCATTGGTTGATAATTGGCTTCCGAGCCTAGGAGAATATATATGATGGTCACTATTAATCACTATAGTGTCAGTATTAAACAGTGGAAGCTGTTGGATAGTGTGGTACGAGTTAGCCCTTAAGGCTAGGACGAATTTTGTAGACAGAGGGTGCTGATTGGCCAAGTATGTACTGAACCCAGGTACATATAAGACAAGGCATGACGGTAATAGTCCATGGCGAAACTTTCTACGACAGCTGGTGATATGTATAATAATAGCGAATATTATGACATACCATAACCGTTATGTCACAAGCCCTCAATGATGATGAGGGACACTCCGTTTCCCACCTTTGGTATTCGTCTGAAATGGGGTGTTCCTAAACTGCGGTGGCCAATTTCTCTCAGAGGAACCGGTTGGTGATAATCGGTAAACCTCGAGTATAAATAGATAAATACTTCTCGCCTAGGTCCTGGGTGATACTCCCAGGAGTGGTGGTTCACAACTACTAGACTCTACTAGTGGTACTCTACTAAAGACCCCCGGCAGCCAAAATCAAACCCTGTACCCTAAGTTCCACAAACAGCTAGCGTATCCATCTGAAATTTTCGAGAGCGAGTTCTAAACTTTCAACGACAATCCATCGCTGCAACCATTCCACCCACCAACCAACTTCGCAGATTCCTCCCAGCAGCCTCCAAACAGAAACTGCTACAACGGAATTGCCCAACATGTCTGCTGTCGATTACCTTCTCCAAGAGACCTCGGTAGGCTATGGCCTTTACCAGGTCGTTTTGCAGCCTGAGACTATTGGTAGTCGCCTTAAAGAGGTGCAAGAAGCTGCTACTGAGTTGTCCAAATTCGGGAAGATGGTCAAACTTGTCTCTTTTGCGCCTTTCCAGTGAGTGTCTCTTAACCTGCCGCTCAATTTGGCAATTACACCGGGTAGGTGTTTTTTGTAAATAGTCGTTAACGCAATTGCGAAAATTAGAGGTGCTGCGCAGGCACTCGAGAACGCAAACGACATCTCGGAGGGTATCGCGAGCGACCACCTTAAAGCTCTCCTTGAGGTCAATCTCCCCAAGGGTGGGAAGAAGAAGAAGGTGGTTCTTGGTATCACCGATAAGAACTTGGCCGGTTCAATTAAGGCTGCTTTCCCCGGTGTTGATTGCGAGACAAATGAGGTTGTCCAAGACTTGCTCCGTGGGCTGAGGCTTCATGGACCTAAGCTTCTCAAGCAGCTGCACGAGGGCGATATGGACCGCGCTCAGCTAGGTTTGGGTCACGCATATTCCAGGGCCAAAGTAAAGTTCTCGGTCCAGAAGAACGACAACCACATTATTCAGTCAATCGCGTTGTTGGATACCCTGGATAAGGATATCAACACTTTTGCCATGAGAGTTAGGTTTGTGGACTTCTTATTGGTGCCGAAGAATTTCAATTCTGGCGCAAAAGCAAGCGCCTGCTTACTCAGTTATTTTACAGGGAATGGTACTCCTGGCATTTCCCGGAAATGATCAAGATTGTTTCTGATAACCACCAATATGCCCGCCTTATTCTTTTCGTCCGGGACAAGAAGACACTGTCTGACGACCGTCTCCATGAACTGGCTGCCCTCGTTGACGACGACGCGGAGATTGCCCAGGCAGTTATTGACGCTGCTAAGGTCTCCATGGGCCAGGACATCTCCGACGCCGACATGACCAACATCTGCTCATTCGCCGAGAAGGTTGTTTCGCTCGCTGACTACAGAAAAACTTTGCACGGATACCTGGTGGACAAGATGGCGATCGTTGCCCCTAATTTGGCGCAGCTTATCGGGGAGATCGTTGGTGCTAGATTGATCTCACATGCTGGAAGTTTGACCAACCTTTCCAAGTACCCTGCGTCTACAGTGCAGATTCTTGGTGCCGAGAAGGCTTTGTTCAGGTATTACCAAAACTAAGATTCGGGTGGGTGACGGTCAATGATTTGTCTTCTAACGAGGTGCAGAGCTTTAAAAACTAAGGGCAACACCCCTAAATACGGTCTCATCTACCATTCTTCCTTCATCGGTAGGGCTGGCGCCAAGAACAAGGGAAGAATTTCCCGATTTTTGGCCAACAAGTGTTCCATTGCCTCCAGAATCGACAGTTTCTCGGATGTCCCTACAACGAAGTTCGGTGAGGCTCTGAGGAAACAGGTTGAGGAGCGCCTTGATTTCTATGCCAACGGTTCCGCCCCTACCAAGAACCAGGATGCCATGGTATGCTCTGTAATCTATTAGAGAGGAAATTTGGTTATGGCTAATACTTGCTTAGAGAGCTGCAATGGATGCTGTTTTGGCAGAAATTGATGTTGACGCTGATGACGATGATGACGAAGAAGAGGTGGACAAAGAAATGGAGGACATTGTCAAGCCAAAGAAGTCCAAGAAGGACAAGAAGGAGAAGAAGGACAAGAAAGAGAAGAAGGTGAAAAACGAAGCCAAGGAGGAAAAAGAAGACAAGTCAAGCAAAAAGAGGCGGAGAGAGGATGACGCGGAAGTCGAGGAGGTAAAGGAGAAGAAGAAGTCCAAGAAGGAGAAGGAGGAGAAAAAGAAGAGCAAAGCTTGAGTGGGAACAAAGGAACAAACAAATTACGGGTACATAAACTCTTTGCTGATTTTTTTCTGGCCGACAGACAAGGGTCGAGCTGGTAACCGGAAATCGGTATAATTTCTTATGGCGTCCTTCCTTTCCTTGTTATATTTTTCTTCATTCTGTACTCTAAAATTTTCCGCTGGTTGAATTGAACGTTTTGAGTTATTTCGATTTAAATTTTGAGAGCAGCCAGAGCGGATTACTAGTTGAGGGAGATGGAATATGTTTCTTCATGTTGAAGCACGAAAACAGGGATTGTAGGTAAAGCACATGCACATATACTTTATCATCTCATTGGAAAAAGCTACCGTGCGGGTTTGATAAGGATAATAAGTTCTCAGGGTTAGGGCTGCCCGGAGGTCAGCCGCAAGTCCAGCCTCCCCATAGGTGTCACGAATGCTTATTGAATTGTTCCATGCATGGTCTTGTATCCGTTATTGGTCCAATCCCAGGACTTTTCCATCCCTCTTCATCCCCTCGCCAGCGAGGCTGGTCGCTCGCACACCCATCAGTCTCCCCAATCTCTCCGCGGGTTACTAAATAAATTGTTATTCACAACTTATTTTTAACTATTACTTTTACGCACGAGAAACGATATTTCTCCGGTATGTTCATTCACGATTCGATGGCTACACGAGCAAGTCTCCAACGGCGCCAGGCACTTGGCCTCCTCAATGGAAATGTCTCCACTCATCGAGCAGCCACTCCGCGCAGAATTGGTAGTGAGTTTGACCATGAAAAACTCAGGAGAGAAGGCCAGGGCAGGGTGCTGGGAAAGCACTCAATTGACTTCCTGGACGACGCACAAACACCTAAAGCTGCCCGGTATACCGAAACCCCCGACAAAAGATTGGGAATTGAGCACTGGTTGGAGGATGGCGTTGTGGATGGAGCTCTGTCGTGTTCATCAGCTCATGATGATGACACGGCGGTGCTTGGACAGCTTGTAAGTTTTCGGTGCTCGTAGTGACGCAAGGGGTTGCTGTTTTAGGAACTTTAGTTATTGACAGGGATTAAATAGACTACAGATGGGAGGGATCGGTTCTTATGCCATTCGGTCCCGGAGCCATTGATAGACGAAGGGCAGGAGTACCGAGACCAAGAAGAAAGGTTTGCAGAGGTAGAAAAAGGTTATTTCGAAAGCAGGCAACGATTAGATTCTTTGGTATTCCCGCAGGCGGGAAAATCGGATTATCCATTGCAGACCTCGGTCAACCCGGAGGCTTCAGTGTCGGAGGCCTTCTCCAGTTCAGCAGCGGCGGCAGCAGTAGCACTTCGTCTTCGCCTCCGTGTAGCACTCTTTAAGGTGCAGACAAACCAGACTGCAATCCCAATATCGCACCTGCAAGTTCCCGAGGCGTCCCCACAGCCTCTCTCAGTATTTCCGCCATCCCTGGTGAGAGTAAGCACTGAGAGAAATGCTCATGATGGGTTCTGTGGCTTTTTCTATGGCGACGATACAAATACGGCACCACCCTCTTCACCACCACCGCTTACAATGGCAGGCACTCTTCTTGATGAACTGCCGTTTCTGGTACCAACCAGGTCATCGTCACCATCTGCAGGATTTGAGGGCTCGCTGCAATTTGGCAGTTCCACAATTTTGCGCCGGAGAATTAGTCTTCAAAATCACTAGCTTCTCGGTGCAAGAGAGAGATTTATAAGATAAAAACATCTCTGAACATTCTAATCTTTTTTGAATTACATAATTCGGTATATTTCATGTCGTTCTCTATCGCAGATACGAGAGAGTGGGGGGATCAGTTTGCAAAAAAAAAAAAAGGCGTTCTTTAGGAAATTTAGTTAATAGTCGGCCGGTTTCAAGAATAAATCAAATCGATGAATTGTTAGAATGTTGAGGAGAAAGTGACATAGTTTTTCTCCGAATGTGTATAGTGGACCTGGTATTCGTAATAAGCCGGTACTCTCTCTATATTTGAATTGAGGATATATGAGAGACGAGGAGGATCCATCGAGTCAGAAAGGCAAAAATTAACGAATTATCAATGAATCAATCAAATTAGAAAAAGACAAGGCTTGCATCGAGTGATATAACATGATCCCCACAAGTCAAAGAGGTATGGCCTGAGACAGCTTCTAACCTACAAGCCAAGTCACACATTACGCTTCGGGAGTACAGCGACACCTCGCTATATAGCGATTTGACGAGAGGTTGTCAGTCAAGTTGACATGAAAGTCAGGTTCCGGTTCCGGTTTTTTTTTTGTATATACCTTTAGTGCGGACAAGGGTGCTGGAGGCGATGGGGGTTAAGAGGGGACCCCAAGTCCAGGAAAAATGAAATCTTTGCAATTGTGCACTTGGTTTGGTTCATTCAATGATCGTTATTTATTTATCTATTTCTTATTCATACCGCATACACCCGAACCCGGGTACTACTCGCCTTTCAAAAAAGTGTTCGCCCGCAACGCAACCAACCCCCACGGTGAAATACAAAAACCTGAATGACCCCAGAACCATAAACAAGGTGGTAGAGGAAATACAGAAGAAGAGTATAAAAATTAAAAGTTGTAGTTGTTGCCTCCTTTATCTTTAATACATGCTTCAATGCGAGAAGGCAAAAATAATGGGACGCTCTACCAGATTTGTAAACGAATCAGTACTTCTTTGGCACTGGCAAATGCAGCGGAAATGTGCTACTAAAATCATCCCGATTTTCCCTCGAGATCAATCCTTTTTATATGTAGAAATGAATCAGAAAACGTGCTTTAACTGCAAATTATAAATTAATACCTCGGAATATACATTATTTGATACCATACCATAATCTACCAACTATGAAAGTGAATCATATCTTACTTCAATAAACAAATTATATAAAAAAATTAAAAATAAAAAATGATTCGGGGGTGGAACCTAAGGGGCTGCGATTACACAGTCCACGTCTTATCACCTACGCTATTAATCCATATACTAGGCCATCTACCATCAGTTTATTAAATGAGTAAAGTACCAAAATGCCCTTCACGGTTGCGCTTCAGTTTTCAATGCCCTCGAGGGTTTATAATACCCCGATGGCAACGGGTAAGAAAAACCCGATACTAACATAACAAATAATAATGAATTTAAGACTCGGATTATACTAGCTACAAGTGCTTTACTCAAAAGCAATACAAGCACATACCCGTGTTCATGTTGGAAGAGAAGGGTAAGTGCGAATAGTGTGTCCAGGTTGGGCACAGCGTGAACATTTATTTGTACCTGCACGAGGTCCTTGACCACCTCTCTCCTGTCTAGCGAGCTGAGGCCTACCCCTCTTTTTTTGCTTGTGAGTTGGTGCGAGACATTCCTCAGAGCTTGTGAGATCCGCAATGTCAATAGGTGGAAGGTTAGGGACGCTATATGTCATTTGATATGCGTTGAGGGTTAGGTTGAATGGTACCCAATCGCGTGGTGCCCTTCCAGACTCATAGATGCAAGAAATTGCATGCACACAAGGTATGTCATACTCCTGAAATAATCCACAACTACAGCGCTGGGTTTCCAAATTGACAATGTACTGATCTCCCCCGTGAGTTGAAACTGTAGCACGCAGTGGTGTTGAAAATGCGACATGTCTTTGTGTCGCATTGTAATGGGAAAGAGCCGACTCAAGAATTTTTGCACTATATTTTGTGAGCAAAGTTCCCGCTGAATATATACTTAGGTTGGTACTGTCTTTGAACCTCTCGTATCTGCTGTTCATGGTTTTATTCCACAACGCTTGGAGAAAGTCGACAATTGCAAGCTTTCTTTCCTCCGTTATGCGTGAATTAAAACTTTCCACAATATTTGGCGTACTGTGTCCATATCGTTTAGCTGTCAAGAAAGGTGAGGACCACAGCTCTTTGTCAATTGTCTGTTCAATGTATGTAGCCGCACGGGAATTTATTGAGCGGACACTTTCCAAACCAGTGTTAAAACTCGCCACGGTTTTCGCAAACATTACATGTGAGTTGAAGGCTGTCCTTGAAGCAAGGCCACAGTGTGACCCAATGTTCCGTGATATGTGTAACGGGGGTCTCTTCTAAGAAAAAATAGAATAGGATAGTGTCAGGGATGCGTACCAGATCACAAGAGTACACTACGCAGAGCTCAGAGTTCGGCTAACAGCTACAAAGGTAGAAGTCTTCAAGGTCTCTTCAGTCAATGTCGAGTAGGAATCTCCTTGGTCCGATACGGGCCCCGCGAGCTACGTTATCAACAAAGATTCACTAGAGTTAGCGGATGGTATTCGACCGTCTTCGACGTAATAGTTCAGGTAGAGTACGAAGTCACAATAGCATAAAGTATTTCGAATAGTATAGTCAAATAGATTTGTAACTCGCGTATCAACAATTTATATTGTTAAGACTCTGATTTCGCCGATAATGATTTGGCTAGTCAGTGAATGACACCGTATTTATATCCCTCGCGTATGTCTCGAGGACTCAGTCTACTAATAATACAGAATACACTCGGGGCCTGCCCGAGACCCTGAAAAACAGCCAAGACATTTAACTCCTAAGTCTGTAACCCAAACTCCTAAGCCCGTTGGAACCCCTCAACCTATTTACCCATTCTAATGCACGTTTCCCTATCGATGTTTCTTCTCCATCGGCCATCTGGTGGATAATCGTCAGTGTCGGCTACTCGTAGGTCTCGGACGGCAAGACTACCTACTCAGGCCTCTTCCCACATCGCTTTCCCACATAGCAGGGTCCTCTCATGCATACGGGTACCGCCAACAGGTACTCGGTCGGCTGGTAGCTTGCGCCGATCCACTCCGAGTGGTCCGATCTTCGATCCGATTGCTTCCAGCTGTCCCTCATCATCAGCAAAAAATGGGTTTCCCCAAGACGAATTCCGGCACCCAGATGCCCAAATTCGTCTTTTGCCCCCAAAACCTCGTCTTTTGGCTCTGGGATCTCGTCGTATGTTCCCTTATTTTTGGCCGCTCATCATTCGACCACAGAACGTTGTCCATTTAGAGCTCCAATTACGAAACCGGTCGTGCGACCTCATTAGCTGGTCTTTTGAATCAATCTATCCTACGCTCGTCTTATGCCAACTGTCCCCGTCTTCACTACCCGTCAAAAGACGAAGATGGCTCAATTGGGAAATCCTCGTCATTTGACTCGGACATAATTCTGTCCAAAATCCAAGTCCAATAATCATTTCATCTAAAATACAAACTCTAATGACCCCCGGGCCCATCTAATACCTTCCACCCAATATGTACAACACAACCTAGTGCATCGAATATCCACTGTTTAACATGTCTAAAGACTCCCGTCTAATTCCCGTTTGTCTTCCCCGTTCGTCATAATCCCCCCTGCCCAAAACCTATCGTCAGAAGTCCACCTGTCTAAAGTCTCTTGTCTGGTGTTCATGTCGTCAGTATCATTATAAAAAACTCAGTCCAACGTCCCGTCTGTGAGGGATGCGTACCAAACCACAAGAGTACACTACGCAGAGCTCAGAGTTCGGCTAACAGCTACAAAGGTAGAAGTCTCCAAGGTCTCTTCAGTCAACGTCGAGTAGGAATCTCCTTGATCTGATACGGGCCCTGTAACGGTGCCATTTCAACTGTCTGGTGTATGAGTACACACAGGGCCCGGTTACATGCTGAGAGTTATTGTTAGAAGCCAGTTGCACGATGATATGCAAGTACCGGCAGTATGGTTAGCTACCAGCTGTTAGAGTAACTACATTCCGGGCGCTAGGAAGGGGATCTATTCACGGGAGCAAGGACTGATGAGTCTATGCCTTGCCAGTGACTAGAAGACCGGCCAGAGTGAAGCTCTGATTGCCCGGTGATTCTCTGTTTTCCTCTAAGCATTGTGAGTCCGCCGAAGGGCAGGGACTATGCTAGGGAAGACTACAATAAGTGGAAACTCTACAGCAATGATTAAGCTTACACCTGAGCGGCAGCTCATTCATGCAGGCCCTCGGTTGTGTGGCAACCAAGGCTGCAGGTGTTACAAAGGCTTTGACTAAGGGTGGTTGCCTTGGGTATCGGAAACACCTGCTGACGCTTAGAGAAAAAGCGGGGTAGCGGTGGTATTGTTTCCGGCACCGAGGAAAGGCTTCACCGGAACTTAGTAAGGAGTTAGGAGCAGAGAATAGAGGCCTTCGGAGTATAAGTACTCAGGTTCATTCTCGCCCTTCAGTCCTGTTCTCTCGAGTCTTCATCAAAAGGAAATATCAAGTTCTTATCGGTAGCAGAGCCCTTAAAGATTATTGAGTTCTAGCGATAGTATCTTTGAATAATCTGCAACCTGATTGTCTATCTTGCACGGCCGTCTCTATTCTACTTCATTCAATTTCTCTTTGAAGAGACCCCCATTACAGATAATCTTTAAGGCTCAAGTCACCTTCAGATTATTCTTCCTCTATACAAAATGTCCGCCCTCCCGGCTCCGGATGCACCTCTTCAGATTGAATGGCAGCCGGTGCCCCTCCAGCTTGATGCCACCGGGCAGACACAGCTTGTCAAGAAGCCCAGGACCGCTCTACAGACCTATATTCCCGGTTGTGAGCCTGCCTGGCAAGATACCGACGAGGTTTCCCTTCAGCAGTTCTTCACAGAGCTCCAGACCTACCTCCAGCACAGCCTGCAGAATCAGTTGACCCGGGGCAGTCAAGCACTCCTCCTTATACAAGAGCGCCAGGCAGCACAGAATGCTCTTATGGCAGAAGCTCTCGAGTATATGAGGATGGAGGTCAACTCCGTTCAGGAAGAACTCCGGAGGTATGCGGAAAGAGATGAACTGAATGATGATGCCATGGAGATCGAGTGGACAAATCCGGCCACCCCACCAGACTTTGTTGCCGAAATACAACGAGCCCTCGATGAAGGAAGGCTGGTGGTGGGTAGACCAGGAACTCCGGCACCAAATCCTCAGTCCAGGTCCTCTTCTAGGGCAGCTACCAGAACAATGCAGCGAAAGACTAGTCCCTTCGCAGCGTTTCCGGTCCGATCCTCTAGGAGAGTTATCCCTATTGTGCAGCCAGCAGTGGGAGCATCTCCCTTACCTCCCAGCTGCTTTAGTGGAGTACTCCCATTCCTTGGAGGAGCCGACCGATCCTTTGACTATGAAGGAGAGCTCTTCCCAGGTGCAGGCCGAGGACCTCCCAGTCCATTAGCCAGCCTGAGGAACCCAGGAAGGTTCACCATGTCTGGGGCCGCTCAAGCAACACCAACCTCACCATTGGCCAGCAACTCCGCACCAGTAGCACCTGTGGCCCCTCCTGCTGCGGCCGCCGCTCCCCCTCCTGCTAATGCACAGGGTGGAAGCGGTGGAAATCAGAACCCTCCACCTCCTGCGGCCCGCGCTCCCGCTCCTGGAGATCCAGATGGTTCTGACAGTTCAGACTCGGAACCAGAAGGTGGTGACAGAAGAGGCTGGCGGAGATACCTTAAGAAGAAGTTGGAAAAGAAACAAAGGGATTTGTTAGCTATGATGTCCCAGCAGTACCGACCTCCAGCCGCCTCTCAAGGGGGTGAGTAGCGAGTGTTCCACAGGGTACGAAGGAGGTAAATAGGGGACGGTATGGGAACTCGCAATAGGGGTACTACGGGACTCTAGCGTTGGTAAGGTTCGACGGAGCACGAAGGAAGCGAGGCGGTGGTCTTCTTTAAAGAAAGAAGAGGACGATAATATTGTATAGCAATAAACAGCGTAGATACAGAAGACGTTGCGTAAAGAAAGAAGAAAGAAGAGAACGAGAAAAACGAACAACCCCCCTTAATATACTCAAGGAAATCCCAACGATGACAAATCCAACATGACTCATACATTAACAATCAACAGAACCCGATAGAACCCAATAGAACCTTTCTGACTAATCCAACTCTCCGTAACCCCGTACCTCCACTAGTCGATCCATGAAAGTAGCCCCTCCCTTCAAGCGCGAGCTCCTGCGAGCCTTAACCTTAATCTTGCCTTCCAACGGTCCAGGTTTGTCGGGGTAATGTATATGGAAGATATCGACGGCGGCGGTATTATCGTGGTATGCGGCGGGTTCCCAGGTAGGGTCGGTATAGCCTGTCCATTTAACAAAGTATTGCAGGCCACCATTCCGTGTTTCTCGCGAGTCCAAGATTTCCTCAACTGCATACTCCTCCTCTTGCTCGACGATAACCGGTGGGGGTGGTGGTTGAATTTGCCCCGGTACAGGATCGTTTGCAGCGGGGTCTAGCAATGATACGTGGAAGACGGGGTGCATCTTCATACTCCTAGGCAGGTCGACTCGATACGCATAGGGTGATATAATTTCTTTAACGGGGAACGGTCCCAGCTTCTTCCAGTCCAGCTTCCGGGAGTTACGCGTGGTTCGGATGTTTTTTGCTGAAACAAACACCATATCGCCGATATCGTACCGTGGAGCCGGCGTCCGTTTGGTGTTGACGGCCTGCTCTTGTTGATCTTGTGCCGTGCGGATGTTGGAACGTAAGTGCTCATGGAGTTCCTTCATCTTCAAGGCGAAGTCTTTAGCATTGAGACTCGGTGGTGTCCTGTCGAGCGATTTAATCGTCACTGTGAACCGGGGGTGGAATCCATAGTTCGCGAAGAATGGTGTAGCTTTAGTGGATGCGGAGACCTGATTGTTGGCGGAGAATTCTGCCATAGGAAGCCATTTTACCCAATCGTCCTGTTGATAAGAGACATACCCACGTAGGTATTGCTCCATCACAGCATTCAGCCTTTCGGTTTGGCCGTCGGTCTCCGGGTGGAAGGCGGTGGACATCCTTGCCTCGATGTTGAGGTGTTTACAAAGAGCCTTCCAAAACTTAGCTGTAAATTGCGTACCGCGGTCGGAAGTGACGTGTGTGGGTAGCCCGTGGAGCTTCCATATGTTTCGCAGGTATAGTCGGGCGACGTCTTCGGAGTTGACAGTAGTATTGCAGGGCAGGAGATGTCGCATCTTTGTTAGCCGGTCAACCACTACCATAATTGCATCGTACCCTTCACTTTCCGGTAGGCCAGTAACGAAGTCCATCGATACCTCCTGCCATGGTTGTTCGGAAATCGGTAAAGGTCGAAGTACGCCGAGTTTTCCATGGGTGTTGGGTTTGCTTCGTTGACAGATGTGGCAGTTCCGAACGTAGCGGGCAATATAATTTCGCATGAGGGGCCAGTAGTAGTCCCGACTGACGAGTTCGAATGTTTTTTCGCGTCCCGGGTGTCCAGCAGAGGCAGCGTCATGGTAAAGTTGGAGGATTCGAAGCTTAAGAGGGTCGTAATCGGGGACATATATGCTGCCTCGGTAAAGCAATCGGCCTTCAACCTCGGTGCATTTGGCGAGTGATATGTCCTTTGATTGTCGATCGCCTTTATCCCGCATATCCAGTATCTTTTGGGGAAACGGGTCAGCGCTATATCCTTCATCGAATAATCCCTGCAATGAGGCGTTCTTTTCAGCGGGCTCGTTTGAGAAAGAACCCGCCAACAAACTTAGCTTTGCATCGAGATTCTCCTTCTTCAACACGACTTGACTCTGATGTAATTGTCTTTCATCCCCCTCTCCAGGGAGATCTCCTGATCTTCTTGTCAACGCGTCCGGTTTCCCTCCTTGTTTCCCTGGTCGGTATTTGATAACAAAGTTAAACCGTGACAGGTATTCTGCCCACCGTACTTGTCTCCGGTTGAGTTGTTTGGTACTCATAAAGTATTCGAGATTCTTATGATCGGATATGACGGCGATTGGGTGTGCAGCCCCTTCAAGTTCCGGTCGCCACTCCTCAAAAGACCGAATGATTGCCAGTAATTCCTTGTCGTAAATCTCGTAGTTGCATTCGGCGGGGGAGTGCTTTTTCGAGAAGTATGCAACAGGTCGGAGGATACCATTGTCATCGTATTGGGAGAGTACACCGGCGGAGACATAGTCAGATGCATCGGTTTCCACAGTAATTTCCTTCTCCGGGTCGAAATGGGTAAGAATGGGCGCCGTGGTAAAGGCTTCTTTCAGGGCGTTGAAGGCGGTTTGGGCTTCGGATGTCCATCCAAATGATATGTCCTTACGTGTCAGTCTGGTAAGAGGAGAAGCCAGTTCCGAGAACCCGCGTATGAATCGGCGGTAAAAGTTAGCAAAACCTAGGAATGCTTGTACATCCTTAACTGTTTTGGGGACGGTCCAATTCTTCACCGTCTCCACTTTCTTTGGGTCCATTTTAATACCATTGGGTTCGATAATCAGGCCGAGATAGGTGGTGCTTTGTGTATGAAATTCGCATTTCTCCGGTTTCAGCAGTACTCCATTTCTTTGTAGGGCTTCCAGAACCTTTTCGACGTGTATTTGATGTTCCTCGAAGGTGTCGCTGTAAATAAGGATATCGTCAAGGTAGGCTGTGCAGAACATATCAAGGTAATCACGGACGCAATCATTAATGAAATGTTGAAAGGTGGCTGGTGCATTGGTAAGGCCGAAGGGCATTACGGTGTATTCGAAATGTCCGTAACGCGTTCGGAAGGCTGTTTTCCATTCTTCACCCTCAGCCATTCGGATCTGGTTGTACCCTTGGCGAAGGTCAAGTTTGGTGTACCACTTGGCTTTGGAAAGGCGGTCGAGAGTTTCCCGGATGAGTGGCAGCGGGTAGCGATTTTTAACAGTAAGTTCGTTGAGGCCACGATAGTCGACACAGAGGCGGAGTGTTCCATCGGCATTTTTAACAAATAGGACAGGGGCACCGGCAGGCGAAGAGCTGGCCTGAATGAACCCCTTTTGAAGGTTGTCCTGTATGTATTGTTTCAGCACAATGAGTTCCTCGCGGGACATACCATAAAGCGGCCCAAAAGGGGGCTCTTTCTCTCCCTTGAGCGGTATCTTATGATCATAGGGACGGCGAGGTGGCATCTCGTTAGCGAATTCTTCGTCCATCATTTTATGAAATCTCTTATACCGGGTTGGGACCCGGTTCCTCCAGTCTTGCTTAGGGGCCTCGCCCGTTGCTTGATCTATTTCCTCAATAGTTGTACTAAAGATTTGGAGTTTGTCTCTCCGAGCAAAGCGACAAAGAGCAGCTGAACTGACGAGGTGAAAACGGGGCGGTGGTGCAACCCCTCTAATAGGAACGGGTATCGGGGAAGAGTTGCACTTGCGTTTACAGTACTCGGAGTCGAATAGTATGCTATTATCCTTGAACCGTAATGTTGCATCGTGCAATTGAAGCCAGGGGATTCCGAGGACGAGTGGGTACGAGCCGAGTTTGGTAACAAAGAAGGGGGTAGTTTCATGGTGGGAGTCAATGGATAGCGGCAGATAGCAGAGGTGGGTAATTTGTCCAGAAGATATGGGCCGACCGTCGATGACTTCAAGAGTGCGGGGTGATTTAAGGGGGAGAAATGGGAAGTTGTTATGGCGCGCGAATGTTTCATCAATGAATGCGAATCCGGAGCAACCGGTATCGATCAGTGCGTGAGTTTGAATGGGTGTTTTATTGTTTATAATTTTACAAGAAGCAACAAAATGATCCCCATCCAATTTATCCTCCACAGACGATACCGAGAAGCCAGAGATAGAAAACGCAGACAAAGGAGAAACATTGAAAGGTCCCGGGCAGGGGCCATTAATCAAGCCCGGGACTACTGAAAACCCGACTCAGAGGAGGCGGGACTAGCGACCGGTGGAGCAGCAGGGTCGACGGCCGTATGGCTGGGTGCGAGGAGGGCCCCTCTCATAACCGGTTGGTTACCGCGCGGGCGATTGGCAGAGGGGCAGTTGGCAAAAACATGACCGGGGTTGGCACAGTACATACAGAGATTGTTGTCCCTTCGCCATTGCTTTTCAGCGGCAGAGGTTTTGCGTTGTCCATTGACAAAAGTGTATCGTTGTTCAATGGCAGGGCGTTGAGTAGGGCGGCTTTGGAGAGCGGAAAGATCTATTGGGGCGAGGCCTCCGGCGGTATGAGATGGGTGTGCGACAGCAGCGGGGGCGGTGAATTGTCCCATTGTATTCCGAATGGCCCTTTGTTCAGCTTTGCGGCCCCGAACCTGGTTATCGATTGTCATCAACATGGTGGCATAGGCTTCGACAGTGTTAGGCCTGTCTGTCCGGTAGGTCATAGTGTCCTTCAAGTCTTCTGACAGTCCTTCGGCCAGGGCATCGATCTTGGCTCCCTCGTTATAGTCCAGGTATGCCACGATGCGGAGGAACTGCAAATAATAGGTAGCGAAGTCCCCTTTGCCTTGCTTCAGGGCAACGAGTTGGCGACGGGCGGTACCCCGGGGGTCTGGGTCTCCAAACGAGGCTTCCAGGTGGGCAACAAAGGCAGTGACGGAGGAGAAGGGGGCGGCAGGGTTAGCATTGACGAGTGGAACGACCTGGTCAAGGGCCCTTCCTTCCAAGCGACTGACTGCATAGATAACCTTTGCTGCCTCGTTTCGGAACCGATCGTGGTTGACCTCAAGTTTCATTCGAAGTTGGGTGGTGAATCCGGGGAGCTTGGTGCGGGTGCCATCGAATTTTTCAGGGTCTGGGAACTTTTCGGACCTGAAGGCGGGGGCAGGAGCAGGTGGGGGAGCAGCGGCAACGGGGACAGCGACGGTAGGGGCGGGGGCAGCACGGGCGACGTTGAGGTCGAGGTTGAGCTGGTTTATCTGCTCCTCGAGGTTGTCAATGGTTTCATTAGCGGCGGTGAGTTGTGCATGGAGAGTGTCCCTTTGGAGGCGGACGTGCTGGACGAGGGTGGCGATGTTATCGAATAGTTCAGTAGAGTCGGCCTCATACATCTGTCTGAATGCTTCTACATCGTTGGGTGCGGCCCATACAGGTGGGTCGGGGGTGGACATGTCGTACGGTGCGGATGACGACGCAACGTAATCTCAAGGGGGTGAGTAGCGAGTGTTCCGCAGGGTACGAAGGAGGTAAATAGGGGACGGTATGGGAACTCGCAATAGGGGTACTACGGGACTCTAGCGTTGGTAAGGTTCGACGGAGCACGAAGGAAGCGAGGCGGTGGTCTTCTTTAAAGAAAGAAGAGGACGATAATATTGTATAGCAATAAACAGCGTAGATACAGAAGACGTTGCGTAAAGAAAGAAGAAAGAAGAGAACGAGAAAAACGAACAACCCCCCTTAATATACTCAAGGAAATCCCAACGATGACAAATCCAACATGACTCATACATTAACAATCAACAGAACCCGATAGAACCCAATAGAACCTTTCTGACTAATCCAACTCTCCGTAACCCCGTACCTCCACTAGTCGATCCATGAAACCGCCTCTCCCCCTACTGCTTCTACTAGGGCCCGAGAACCAAAGGCACCACCACCCTCCAAGTTCCAGGGCAAAGCGGAGCAAGTGGAGACCTTCATCCGGCAATGTGAGAATGTGTTCTCCATTGAAAGCCTATCATTCACCTCTGAGGAGGTTAAGATCCGATATGCAGGCAACTTGATGGAAGGAGAGGCAGCGATCCGATGGTATGAGGCATACCACAACTCAATTGATCAAACCTCCGCCAACCGTCTTGCCGGAATGCCGGTGATGTTGGACCAGAGATGGAAGCGCTGTGATTCCTTTGTGGATGCTTTTAGAGCAGCCTTCGGTGAAGCCATCTCTAGAGATGATGCGGTAGCCCATTGGAATACCCTTACCCACACGGCTCGAGGAGGAATAGATCTCTTCCTGAATACTATCATTCAGCTGATGTGGAAGACTGGCTATGAGGGTCAGTTGGTGGATGATAAGATCAACAATTCCCTCCTTCCGGACCTAGGCATGAGTTGGGCTCTCTTCAATCCCAAGCCAAAGTCCTTGATGGAGCGGATAGCTTGTGAGGGATGCGTACCAGACCACAAGAGTACCCTACGCAGAGCTCAGAGTTCGGCTAACAGCTACAAAGGTAGAAGTCTCCAAGGTCTCTTCAGTCAACCTCGAGTATGAATCTCCTTGATCCGATACGAGCCCCGCGAGCTACGTTATCAACAAAGATTCACTAGAGTTAGCGTATGACGCTTCGACCGTCTTCGACGTAATAGTTCAGGTAGAGTTCGAAGTCACGATAGAATAGAGTATTTCCAAAAGTGTAGACAAATAAAGTTGTAACTCGCGTATCAACGATTTATATTGTTAAGACTCTGATTTCGCCGATAATGGTTTGGCTAGTCAGTGAATGGCACAGTATTTATATCCCTCGCTTATGTCTCGAGGACCCAGTCTACTAATAATACAGAATACCCTCGGGGCCTGCCCGAGACCCTGAAAAACAACCAAGAACTTTTAACTCCTAAGTCCGTAACCCAAACTCCTAAACCCGCTGAAACCCCTCAACCTATTTACCCACTCTAATGCACGTTTCCCTGTCGATGTTTCCTCTCCATCGGCCGTCTGGTGGATAATCGTCAGCGTCGGCTACTCGTAGGTCTCGGACGACAAAGCTACCTACTCGGGCCTCTTCCCACATCGCTTTCCCACATAGCAGAGTCCTCTCATGCCCATAGGTACCGCCGATAGGTACTCGGTCGGCTGGTGGCTTGCGCCGATTCACTCCGAGTGATCCGATCTTCGATCCGATTGCTTCCAGCTGTCCCTCATATATCCACCGGTTACCAAAGCACTCCCCTCCGGTGGTTTGACGCTCCGGGGGTTATTATTGGGGTCGAAAACGTGTTTTTTATGACTCCGTGTTTTGGTCGTATATTGGTCGCACCACACCCCACGGGTGCGGTCCAGAGTTGACATTAGCGTGCAGAGGGTATTGGGGTATCTACTGGCCTTTTCTCGCACTCCCGTAAATGCTTGGCATGCCCGTAACAGGAACCTTGGGAACATCTCAAGAAGAGTGCTGAACAAGCCCTTCGGGATTTCCACATGAGGTATCCTAAGAAACCCAAGGACAAGCGGATTGTTGGGGTGTAGTTTTTTCCTTTAGATTTTCATTCCTTACATATCACGGAATTTCTTGTCACATAGAATGGATGGTAATAGAATGTTTATAGATCTTGGAGACCAAGATCCTGGAAGAGGGGAGTGGTGTAACGGAGCCATTTCAACTGTCTGGTGTATGAGTACACACAGGGCCCGGTTACATGCTGAGAGCTATTGATAGAAGCCAGTTGCACGGTGATATGCAAGTACCGGCAGTGTGGTTAGCTACCAGCTGTTAGAGTAACTACATTCCGGGCGCTAGGAAGGGGATTGTTACGGGCATGCCAAGCATTTATGAGAAAAGGCTAGTAGCTACCCCAATACCCTCTGCACGCTAACGTCAACTCTGGACCGCACCCGCGGGGTGTGGTGCGACCAAAATACGACCAAAACACGGAGTCATAAAAAACACGTTTTCGACCCCAATAATAACCCCCGGAGCGTCAAACCGCCGGAGGGGAGTGCTTTGGTACCGGTGGATATATGAGGGACAGCTGGAAGCAATCGGATCGAAGATCGGATCACTCGGAGCGAATCGGCGCAAGCTACCAGCCGACCGAGTACCTATCGGCGGTACCTATGGGCATGAGAGGACTCTGCTATGTGGGAAAGCGATGTGGGAAGAGGCCTGAGTAGGTAGCCTTGTCGTCCGAGACCTACGAGTAGCCGACGCTGACGATTATCCACCAGACGGCCGATGGAGAGGAAACATCGACAGGGAAACGTGCATTAGAGTGGGTAAATAGGTTGAGGGGTTTTAGCGGGTTTAGGAGTTTGGGTTACGGACTTAGGAGTTAAATGTTCTTGGTTGTTTTTCAGGGTCTCGGGCAGGCCCCGAGTGTATTCTGTATTATTAGTAGACTGGGTCCTCGAGACATAAGCGAGGGATATAAATACCGTGTCATTCACTGACTAGCCAAAACCATCATCGGCGAAATCAGAGTCTTAACAATATAAATCGTTGATACGCGAGTTACAACTTTATTTGACGATACTTTTGGAAATACTTTACTCTTTTGTGACTTCGCACTCTACCTGAACTATTACGTCGAAGACGGTCGAATACCATCCGCTAACTCTAGTGAATCTTTGTTGATAACGTAGCTCGCGGGGCCCGTATCGGATCAAGGAGAATTATACTCGACGTTGACTGAAGAGACCTTGGAGACTTCTACCTTTGTAGCTGTTAGCCGAACTCTGAGCTCTGCTTAGTGTACTCTTGTGATCTGGTACGCATCCCTCACAGTATATTGTTACTCACAAGTTCACTTGGAGTAACGAAGTCACCTCAAAAAGAAGAACTATCATCATTATCCCTATCACAATGACTACCCGAAGGGATAATTATTTCATAGATAACTCGGCCGTAACTGAGGAGGCCGGGGAAGATTCTATGGTAATATCAAGGGTTGCTAGCCCAGATCCCCTACTCCAGGGAGGACCCTCTACACAAACTAGGCAATCGAGCAAACGCTCTGCTCAAGCCCAGTTTACGAGGAATATGCAGGAGTTTTTGGATACCCATGAGGCACAAATGAGGTATCCTGGTACAGCTGGACAGGCCATGTGGCAGCAGCTACAAAACCTCCAGGAACAAGTGCAAGAGGGCGGGCAAGTCCTGGACAAGAAAGTACGGCAAGAAGCCATCGCCCAGAAGCAACATCTCGAATCGCTCTTTGAGCTCGTCGAAAATGTTCGGCAAGTACAGGAAGCCGCACGAGCCGCCGACCACCAGGTTCTGGATCGCAACCATCGGATTACCCAGAACCAACTGCTGGAGGCGGAACGACAGCTGAGAGTTGCAAGAGAAGAACGAGAGCAGGAGAAAAGGGAACAGCGGGAACTGTTGGCGCAATTCAAGCAGTCCGATGACGTAAGAAACCAACGAATAGCCGAGATGGAGGAACGACTACGACAACATATGTCGGTAGCACCCTCCATGGTGAGTATTCCCTTGGACCCTAATGCACCCCAAATGGTTCCTGTTGGCAATGGCAAGAAACCCGAAAATGCTGGCCCAGTAGGAGGAAATGCTGGCCCAGTAGGAGGAAACGCTGGCCCCGTAGGGGTAAATGGAGGCAGGCAACCGGAGGATGCCGGCCCAGTGCAGGAAAATAGTGGCAGGAGACCGGTGGGAACTGCCCCCGTCGGCGGGAATGGTGGAAATCAACCTCCCCGAAACCCACCGAGAGGTAATATTGGGGGAGACCCAGAACCTTCCGACGATGATGACGATGATAACAGCGAATGGTCGCATGGTCGGAAGAATTGGAGAATGAATCGAGGCGGGAACCGGAATTCGGCGCCGCCTGAAGACGAGGATATGGTAGATTCACTCGCCAAAATACCATTCGAGTTCGATAATGCCAGGAAGCATAACCTGCGGCATTGGCTCATGGAGTGCGAGATCTACTTCGAGCAGGAGCCCAAGAAGTTCCGAACGGACAGGAACAAGGTACTGTTCGCTGGGACGTATACGTGTGGGTTGGCAAAGGTGTTACGGGCATGCCAAGCATTTATGAAAAGGCTAGTAGCTACCCCAATACCCTCTGCACGCTAACGTCAACTCTGGACCGCACCCGCGGGGTGTGGTGCGACCAATATACGACCAAAACACGGAGTCATAAAAAACACGTTTTCGACCCCAATAATAACCCCTGGAGCGTCAAACCGCCGGAGGAGAGTGCTTTGGTACCGGTGGATATATGAGGGACAGCTGGAAGCAATCGGATCGAAGATCGGATCACTCGGAGCGAATCGGCGCAAGCCACCAGCCGACCGAGTACCTATCGGCGGTACCTATGGGCATGAGAGGACTCTGCTATGTGGGAAAGCAATGTGGGAAGAGGCCTGAGTAGGTAGCTTTGCCGTCCGAGACCTACGAGTAGCCGGCGCTGACGATTATCCACCAGACGGCCGATGGAGAGGAAACATCGACAGGGAAACGTGCACTAGAGTGGGTAAATAGGTTGAGGGGTTTAGCGGGTTTAGGAGTTTGGGTTACGGACTTAGGAGTTAATTGTTCTTGGTTGTTTTTCAGGGTCTTGGGTAGGCCCCGAGTGTATTCTGTATTATTAGTAGACTGGGTCCTCGAGACATACGCGAGGGATATAAATACCGTGTCATTCACTGACTAGCCAAACCATTATCGGCGAAATCAGAGTCTTAACAATATAAATCGTTGATACGCGAGTTACAACTTTATTTGACTATACTTTTGAAATTACTTTACTCTATCGTGGCTTCGAACTCTACCTGAACTATTACGTCGAAGACGGTCGAAGCATCATACGCTAACTCTAGTGAATCTTGGTTGATAACGTAGCTCGCGGGGCCGGTGTTACGGGCATGCCAAGCATTTACGGGAGTGAGAGAAAGGCTAGTAGATACCCCAATACCCTCTGTACGCTAATATCAACTCTTGACCACACTCGCGGAGTGTGGTGCGACCAAATTACGACCAAAACCCAGAGTCATAAAAAACACGTTTTCGACCCCAATAATAACCCCCGGAGCGTCAAACCGCCGGAGGGGAGTGTTTTGGTACCGGTGGATATATGAGGGACAGCTGGAATCAATCGGATCGAAGATCGGACCGCTCGGAGGGAATCGGCGCAAGCTGCCAGCCGACCGAGTACCTATCGGCGGTACCTGTGGGCATGAGAGGACTCTGCTATGTGGGAAAGCGATGTGGGAAGAGGCCTGAGTAGGTAGCCTTGCCGTCCGAGACCTCCGAATAGCCGACGCTGACGATTATCCACCAGACGGCCGATGGAGAAGAAACATCGACAGGGAAACGTGCATTAGAGTGGATAAATAGGTTGAGGGGTTTCAGCGGATTTAGGAGTTTGGGTTACGGACTTAGGAGTTAAATGTTCTTGGTTGTTTTTCAGGGTCTCGGGCATGCCCCGAGTGTA